CAATCCGACTAGGCTCGATTGGTCTATAAAATATCCAGCAACATGTGACCATTACGCCTGAAGGAGTGCGACCTTTACTTGTTACTTACTATTATTATTGCACAGTTAAACAAAGCTTAAGCTCCTACATGAACATTACAAGGGAACTCAGCGCCCCTAAGATAGTTTTTTTCTCGTTGTGGCGCGCATGCTCTAGGTTCCCTGGACATACTCTGTTAGCCCCTTACGACACATGGGAATGAATCAGCCGACACCTGTCGGCGGGTCAGTGTAACATGGCACCAGCCGTGTTTGCGGTCGTGTGTGCGCGCACGTGTGTGTGTGTGTGTGTTTTATAAACTGCAACATTTCAGCTTTTCAAACAAACAATAAGCTTGGGGTCTTGGTAAACCGGGTCCCTACAAGAGAAACTTATGCCATTTTGTATCAGTGCTCCTTCTCGCTTCTAATCTTTCGCTTCTCTCTTTCTTACTCCTGCCGATCTCCGCCTTACCCGCCTATGCCTTTCTTGTCCCTCATGCCTTCAAAGTCTTCTACTTCTACTTCTTCTTCTTCTTCTTCTTCTTCTTCGAAGTAACTTACTACTACTATCTACTAACTACTACTGCTACTATACTAACTACTACTAACTGACTACATCAACTAACTAACTACTACTAACTTACTACTACTACTACGGCTACTACGACTAACGGCTCGCTACTACCTACTAGCTGCTAACCTACTGCATAACTACTACTACTACTACTACTACTCACACTTATCTGACTTGCTGTTGCTGCTACTAGTGCTGTTGCTTGTGCTACTAGTGCTGTTGCTGCTACTAGTGCTGTTGCTGCTACTAGTGCTGTTGCTGCTACTAGTGCTGTTGCTGCTACTAGTGCTGTTGCTGCTACTAGTGCTGTTGCTGCTACTAGTGCTGTTGCTGCTACTAGTGCTGTTGCTGCTACTAGTGCTGTTGCTGTTACTAGTGTTGTTGCTGTACTAGTGTTGTTGCTGCTACTAGTGTTGTTGCTGCTACTAGTGCTGTTGCTGCTACTAGTGCTGTTGCTGCTACTAGTGCTGTTGCTGCTACTAGTGCTGTTGCTGCTACTAGTGCTGTTGCTGCTACTAGTGCTGTTGTTGCTACTAGTGCTGTTGCTGCTACTAGTGTTGTTGCTGCTACTAGTGCTGTTGTTGCTACTAGTGTGTTGCTGCTACTAGTGTTGTTGCTGCTACTAGTGCTGTTGTTGCTACTAGTGCTGTTGCTGCTACTAGTTATGTTGTTTGCTGCTACTAGTGCAGTTGGATGCTACTAGTGCAATGTTGCTGCTACTAGTGCTGTCTTCTGCAGCATGTTAGTGCTGTTGCTGATATGTTGCTCCCTAGGTCTTTCCTGTTGTTGCTCAAAAACTACGTCTCTGCCAGTGCTCCTGCCTTGTGTACTGCATATCTAGTGCTGTTGCTGCTACTAGTGTTGTTGCTGCTACTAGTGCCTGGTTGTTGCGGTACTGCTGTTGTTGCTAGTTTTGTGTGCCAGTGTACTTGTGCTGTTTCACTGCTACTATTTACTTCATTGCTGCTACTAGCGAGATGTTCGCTGGTCTATCCGTATGCTACTAGTGCTGTTGCTACCATGCTACTAGTGCTGTTGCTGCTACCCTTGTGCTGTTAAACCTGCCTGTACTATTGCTGTTGCTGCTACTAGTGTGCTGCTACTAGTGCGCAGTTGCTGCTACTAGTGTTGTTGCTGCTCAAAACTAGTGCTGTTGCTGGTGTTAAACGTTCATTGCTTCATGCTGTTAAAGTGCTGTTGCTGCCTTACTGACTAATGCTGTTGCTGGACAATACTAGTGCTGTTGTTGTTGTGTGGGACACAATAACTGTGTGCATTTACTTTATGCGCATTCATGCACTGCTACTAGTGTAAATGCTGGCCTTGTGCAAATGAGTGGTTATCAGAATGTTTGTGATGGATGGAACAGTGCTGTGTTTGTGTGGGATGGAGGGATGTGAATGTATGGACATGCGTCAGGTGGATGGGTGGAATGGGTGAGTGTGTGGCCAGGTGAGGGGTGGATGGTTGGATGGATGCTGTTGGATGTGTTGTATGGATGGCGAGGTTGGATGGATGGATGGGTGAGTGTTGGACAGGTAGAGGGGTGGATGGGTGGATGGGTGAGTGTATGGACAGGCGAGGGTGGATGGGTGGTTGTATGGACATGGAGGGTGGATGGGTGGAGGGGTGAGTGTATGGACAGATAAGGGTTGGATGGGTGGATGGGTGAGTGTATGGACAGGTGAGGTGGATGGGTGAGTAGTGACTGGGTGGTGGATGGGTGGTGTATGGACAGGGAGGGGGTGGATGGGTGGAGTTTATGGAATAAATAATTTAGGGTGATGTATGGACAGGGAGATCACGTGGGGTGGATGGGGTGACGCAGTGTATGGACAGATGAGGGGTGGATGGGTGAGTTATGGACAGGGAGGGGTGGATGGGTGGATGTATGGACAGGCGAGGGGTGGATGGGTGAGTTATGGACAGGGAGGCTGGATGAAATGTATGGACAGGCGAGGCATGGATGTATGGACAGGCGAGGGGTGGATGGGTGGATGTATGGACAGGCGAGGCGTGGATGGGTGGATGTATGGACAGGCGAGGCGTGGATGGGTGGATGTATGGACAGGCGAGGGGTGGATGGGTAGTGTATGACAGGCGAGGTTCATATCCAATGATGTTATGGACAGGCAGGGTGGTGTATCATGGATGGGTGAGTGTATGGACAGGCGAGGGGTGGATGGGTGGATGTGGACGCGAGGGTGGTGGACGGGTGCTGTATGGACAGCGCGAGGGGGTGGATGGGTGAGTGTATGGACTCTTTCAATGGGTGGATGGGTGATTGTATGGACAGGCTGAGGGGTGGGATGGGTGGATGGGTGAGTTATGGATACTGTGGATGGGTGGATGGGTGGATGGGTGAGTGTATGGACTTGGAGGGTGGAATGGTGAGTTATGGACAGGGAGGGGTGGATGCGCTGGGATGTTGGAAACCTTCCTGTAGTGGATTTCATTGTCGTTGTTTCCTCTGGGTGGATGGACTGGATGGGTGAGTGTATGGACAGGCTGGGGTGGATGGGGTGAGTATGGACAGGGAGGGGTGGATGGGTGGTTGGACAGGGAGGGGTGGAATGATTGGATTATGGACAGGCGTTTAATGGGTGGATGGGTGAGTGTATGGACAGGGAGGGGTGGATGGGTGGATGGGTGAGTGTATGGACAGGCGAGGGGTGGATGGGTGGAGTTATGGACAGGGAGGGGTGGATGGGTGGAGTGTATGGGTGGACAGGTGGGTGGTGGATGGGGTGGTGTGTATGGACAGGCGAGGGGTGTGATGGGTGGATGGGTGAGTGTATGGACAGGGAGGGGTGGATGGGTGAGTGTATGGGCTGGGGATGGGTGGATGGGTGAGTGTATGGACAGGGGAGGGGTGGATGGGTGAGTGTATGGACAGGCGAGGGGTGGATGGGTGGATGGATGGGTGAGTGTATGGAACAGGGATGGGTGGATGGGGGTTGGATGGGATGGTTGAGTGTATGGACAGGGAGGGGTGGATGGGTGAGTGTATGGACAGGTGGATGGGTGAGTGTATGGTGGCGATGGGTGAGTGTATGGACAGGTGGGGATGGGGGTTGAGTGATGGATGGGCGAGGGGTGGGCATGGGTGCGGTGGATGGATGGGAGGGGTGGTGGGTGAGTGTATGGGCTGGTTGGGTGGATGGGTGAGTGTGGAACATGAGTGGTGGATTGGTTGAGTGTATGGACAGGGAGGGGTGGATGCATGGTGAGCGGATGGATGGGTGGTGGCATGCATAGATGGTTGACTAGGTTGCTGGCCAGATCACTGGCTGTTTGATAAACTGATTATTCTGTTGGTTGTGATTATTCTAGACTAAGTTCTGACACTTCAAGTTCAGTCTATTTTTTCCCGAGTGATCTGAACTCTATTATCACATTGTGTGTACTGGGATTTCTATGTCCCAACCTTGAAAAGATTTATGAGGATTTAGTTAAAGTTAAATATCGACTTTTTGGCAAGGGGTTTTATCCCCGAGGGCTCATCTTTCCTTCACAGAACGTCTAGCAGCCTGTTGTGAGCATCGCGCAAAGCACGAACTCATAAGCTCCAGGCACAACCCGTATAAATTGTACTATCGAACTTATCAACGTGTCCGTGAAACGAACCCACGACTTTCAGAGCGTGAGGCAAACGGCTTGACTATTTGACCAAACGGAGACTGATGGTTCTGGTGTTGACACTGACAGGCGAGCTCTTGTGGTCATATTGACCATTTTCTGGGGGTAGCGCTCTAGCTCCAGGCAGCTTTGAGTAGGGTCTCAGTCTCACTAAACCGTATGTCCTTAAGAATTTTTACATTTAAAAAATGATATTGCAAGTAGTTGTTTTAATACTATTTTTATTGCTGTATGCTGACGAATAGTTTCTATCCGCAGCGTTCATTCTGTCGCTTGTAAATGGGCTCGTGTGAAGCTGTACTGTCCGTTTCCCGCTTTTTTTTTTTTAATGATATTGCAAGTAAAAGTTTGTTTTATATCCCCGAGGGTTTTTATTGTCGTTTTTTTTTTTTTTGGGCTCGTTGTGAACGTTTAATTTATTCATTTTATGTTACAGTTTACAGTCCAAATCATTTCAATTTTGTTCTCCTGGTACTCAGTATTTCTAAAAACATGCAAACCCATAACAACTGAATGTTTTAGTATCATGCAGTAAAATGAGTGTTATGTATTAACTTCTCGCAGTGCATTTAAATAAAACGAGACGAACAGTACTTTGCACTGAATCAAGAAAGAATTACACCTTTTTGAGTAGAAAGATTCAATTTGTGTGCTTCCTTATATGTTTGTGTTGTTTGTGCCCGGAATATTTAAACATAATATTCATTACAGATATTATAAGTGTAGTATCATCAGTTCACACCAGACAACATGTCTCATTTCTCAGGGCACAATCCGATATCGCCATGACTTTGATGCAGGAGCGGTTGCCGAGACCTTGAAGAACGCCATGTCTGGCGTTGGTAAGTTCGGCACAAACAAAATGACAAAAGTACTGATTACTGATTTAAGATTCGACAATATAACACACTGGACATGCTCATATATACCCAGTCTCCCGCAGCAAATGTCATGAGGGCTATGCAGCAAGGTTCACTCAGGAACCAAAATATAACAAATGTAAATCGTTGTGGACATGAGACTCGAGCATCCATCATAGAAAGATCACTAACACAGTACAACTGGCAATGGCTCATGGGCTGTTAGTTGAATAGCCCGGGTGTAGATCCTATCTGTCCCCCTAACATACTGATTGTGCATGCATCGTTCTCTCGCTCTCATAGATCCTATCTGTCCCCCTAACATACTGATTGTGCATGCATCGTTCTCTCCCTCTCATTGATCCTATCTGTCCCTCTAACATACTGATTGTGTATGCATCGTTCTCTCGCTCTCATAGATCCGATCCTATCTGTCCCCCTAACATACTGATTGTGTATGCATCGTTCTCTCCCTCTCATAGATCCCATCTGTCCCCCTAACATACTGATTGTGCATGCATCGTTCTCTCCCTCTCATAGATCCAATCTGTTCCAACATACTGATTGTGCGTGCATCGTTCTCTCCCTCCCATAGATCCTATCTGTCCCCCTAACATACTAATTGTGCATGCATCGTTCTATCCCTCTCATACTCTCCCTCTCATACTCTCCCTCTCATACTCTCCCTCTCATACTCTCCCTCTCATACTCTCCCTCTCATACTCTCCCTCTCATACTCTCCCTCTCATACTCTCCCTCTCATACTCTCCCTCTCATACTCTCCCTCTCATACCTCCTTCCACGTTTACACATTCTTACAGATATTATTTCCTCTAACTCGTGTCTTTGATCAGCATTCGTTCTTAAATGGTCTTCACCGTGCCTCCTTTGTCCATTACGATTTCTTTAGCTATCGATTTTGTACGGCACAACAGAACTTTCATATCATTGTGTTGCAGCAAATACTACCTCAAGTAGCATGATGGCGGGTTCGCTAGTGGACGCTCTTGTGCACATGTGTTCGAATCCTTTTTGTGGCAAAGATTTTTTTTCTCTCTAAAATTAAACTGAATACTCGGTTCAAGTCAACTTTAATCTGAAACCCAGAAATGTCTAGGAAGTAAAGGCGGCCGGTTCGACAATAAGCACATCATCCATGATGGGCTTAGTTGTCTTTTTAAACATGGACCTGACACAATGTACTGTCTTGACTGACTTGTTTGGTTGGTTGTTGTTTGCTTCGTTAGTTGGTTGGTTGGTTAGTTAGTTAGTTAGTTAGTTAGTTAGTTAGTTAGTTAGTTAGCTAGTTAGTTAGTTAGTTAGTTAGTTAGTTAGTTAGTTAGTTAGTTAGTTAGTTGGCTGGCTGGCTGGCTGGCTGGCTGGCTGGCTGGCTGGCTGGCTGGCTGGCTGGCTGGCTGGCTGGCTGGCTGGCTGGCTGGCTGGCTGGCTGGCTGGTTGGTTGGTTGGTTAGTTAGTTAGTTAGTTAGTTAGTTAGTTAGTTAGTTTAGTTTAGTTAGTTAGTTAGTTAGTTTAGTTAGTTAGTTAGTTAGTTAGTTAGTTAGTTAGTTAGTTAGTTAGTTAGTTAGTTAGTTAGTTAGTTAGTTAGTTAGTTAGTTAGTTAGTTAGTTAGTTAGTTAGTTAGTTAGTTAGTTAGCTAGCTAGCTAGCTAGCTAGCTAGCTAGCTAGCTAGTTAGTTAGTTAGTTAGTTAGTTAGTTAGTTAGTTAGTTAGTTAGCTAGCTAGCTAGTTAGCTAGCTAGCTAGCTAGCTAGCTAGCTAGTTAGTTAGTTAGTTAGTTAGTTAGTTAGTTAGTTAGTTTTTTAGTTAGTTAGTTTAGTCAGTTAGTCAGTCGGTTAGTATTAGGAGGTTGACTGGCTGGCTGCTTTGTTGGTTGGTTATTTTGATGGTTAGTCGACAGATCATTCTCGCTGCACATCGCATCATTCACTCCATAACCAGCAGCAACTGAACCAAACAATGATCTTATCTACCTGCAGGGACAGACGAGGAAACGGTCATCAACTGCCTTGGCAACCATACCTGCGAACAGAGGCTGGCCATCGCCCAGGCCTACAAGACCGCCTATGGAAAGGTGGGTGCCTGGTGTCAGCTGACCTGTGCTTTATTGATCTAATGTAGAGCCCCGTTTGTGCAAATGTCAGCGGATATTTTGCTAGGCTGTAGTAATCGATAAAAAACCGGCTCGTTCACATTTCCATACGAGTGATTCATCTTGCTAAATTGCACTTTTTTCTTCATTATAATTCCCACTTTGCTCGTTCATCCATGCATGCATTAATTCTCTCGAGGGTGGGGGAGAGGGGGGCGCCGAGTGGTCTCGAGGTACGGCATACACCTCGAGTACTGGAGGTCCCAGGTTCAAACTTCGGCGAAGGCTGGGCTTTTTCACGTGGACTTCTAGCAATTTTCCCTGGTCTGTGGGTAGAAAGATTGGACGCCCGTCTGTATTGTTGCGCACGTAAAAAATGCCTTAGCAGTTGGAAATCGAAAAAAAAAGAGAGGCTTAATGGCGCTGCCCGGCAAAATTATGAATTTAAAATCTACCTAAAGTATTTCAGGATTTTTGCAGGTGCAACTGAATTTGTGCACTGCGTTGAGGTTTCTTTAGGTTCCGGCTTGAGTTAGAAGTGGAACGTAGCACTTCTGGGTTACTCCAGTCGTCCATGATGTTGATCCATTGAAACAACATAAAACATTCATTTATTCGAGACTTTCTTCTCTTTCTTCTTTTTTCACCGTCACGAGGGCCAATAAGGAAAGCCAATTTTAGCAACGCTGTAACCGGCCATGCATGCCGTAAGGGGTGAGTGGCATGGACAGGCTGGCTACCAGAATTATAACCGTAAAATCCAACCAATCGCGGACTTTGAATTTGTCGGTTGAGGGCCTATGAAATTCGGAAGAATAAAATCGGCCACGTAAATGTTATCCAGTTTCGTCCTTTTTAGGACGAAATTTTTTGTTATTTGAAGTCCCACCCTGGTTTTTGCCAGGGGCCTCAATATATGCAGGCCATAAATATGGTCAATTGTCTGAACGCGGTTTCTGGGACCTCTCCACGGCGATCCTCATCCACATGGTGGCTCTTTGTGTCATCGGGTGTTTATCGCTTGTGTGATGTCCTAGTGGGGTAGAAAGTCAGTCAGTCAGTCAATCGATTGTCAGTACATCTAATTATATGCTGTTGGAACTATATGTTTATTACATTGTGTAAGAATTATATGTTTATCCTACGACATGACAGAAAAAGAGAACCTTTCGCTTTGCTGTAAACATCTGCCAGATCCAGGGCAGTGTCTGTGCTAATGTATTCTCTGCTGGCCATTCTTCTGACGTCATCCATCCAACAGATTATCAAGTTATCCTCTGAAATGTCGATGTAGAATCAGTTTTCTGTCATTGTCATCCTTTGTGTGCCGTTAGACGTCACATATTGCTCGAATTCGATCCCGCCACTCCGCTCTATTCCACGCAACTTTCTCGATTTCTGACATGGAGTTCAGCCCAGCGTTTTCAGCCTCTGGTTTTAATGTTCTTCTTATTGATTCCCTTAGACGAACTCTTTATCTCTGACCGTTTCTTCCTCATTTCAGTATCTGTTTTGTAATTCTTCGCTCACTTCGTCTCAGAGTGATCCCAATTTATCTTTACCTTCTGTGTCTTATTGCAGTCGATACAAGTATATGTCCACATATTTCTCTTACCTCACTTTTTTTTTTTTTTGGTTTATCCTATTTTATGTTCATGAGTTTCCTCTGAAATTTTTTTTTTTTTTTTTGAATGCACTTAACTTTCGTTCCATATCTTTGGCGGTTATACAACTGTCGCTGTTGGAACTGAAATAAAGTCAGAATTTAAGATTCGTAGTTTGTTCTCAAAGCTGTATAACTTGGAGCTCCATATTTTGTTAAGGCTTTTAAAGACAGTTGTTGCTTTGCCAGTACGTATCGTAATTTTCTTCGTTGCATTATCTCCTTTAAAGTCAAAATTGGTACTCAAATAAGTAATATGGTCTGTTACTTTTATTGGTTTGTTCTGAAGCATATCTACACAATCTATTATTGTGATCTTTAATGTCTTCTCATTACTTAACTATTTTAATTATTACAAGAAAACGAAACTGGGGCACCGGTATCGCAGTGACTAGACACTTGTTTGCCAGCTCGAACGTAATTGATTCGATTCCACATTGATGTGAATTTTACAAAATCGACCTTGGTTCCCAATGTCAATAGGGCCTAAATGTCATGGAAAGTAAAAACGGCCGGCGGATTGTTGACCACATCACATCTCTACTGCCACTGGGTCTACAAAATAGGTTTGGCACTATACACCAGATTTAGCGCTGGCGTGACAATGATTCTATACTTACATTTTCAGTTGTCGAAACGTTATAAGTTATGAGTTATATGATTTGAGTTATCTTCACGGCACTCCGGACATGTAAATGTTTCTTGCAACAGGACCTTCTGGACGACATCAAGTCAGAACTGTCTGGAGACTTTGAGACCGTCTGTGTCGCCATGTTGACGCCCCCTAGGAAACTAGACGCCCAGCAGCTTCATGAAGCCATTTGTGTAAGTTACTGCAACTGTGTTAGTAATCACAGATCGATCGATCGACCAGTGTGTCCCATTCGGACTGCTTCCCAAAGGTGTACTATACCATCATGCGATGCGTGTGTGTGTATTATATATATATATATATATATATATATATATATATATATATATATATATATATATATATCTGTGTGTGTGTGTGTGTGTGTGTGTGTGTGTGTGTGTGTTTTGGAAGGTGGGCCAGTAAGGCAGGTTACAGATATCCAATTCAGCCTCAAACAAAGTTAATATAATTAGGTCATCTGGAACGGATGTATCAGTCAAGTTTAGCCTGCAGTCGTCTGCTTGTAAGGGCGTAGTCACAAATGTACTTTCAGATTTAGGGGCTGCCTGGCTTGTGTTGTGGCCATGGACTTGCCAGGTAAGATTTTGTTTTTGCCCTCGACAGAAAACAATCAGTCACTTTGGCCGAGGAATCGAACCTGGGTGTCATGATTAAGAGCCCAGCATTCGTGACCGATCTGCAAGTCACTCCTCTACGTTGTTGTGTTGTTGATATTGATGATGTTGTTATTGTTGATTTTGGAGGGGGAAGATGGGCTGATTTGACCACGTTTAAGAAGACAGCTTCGGTTATATTTGTGGTATGGTTTTATCTGCAAGACGATAAATGCTCGAACAGCCCTTCACACCACAGCGATACCAAAACTCCCCCTCATACAGAGCATATGAAAGCGAATCTTTGGAAACAGAAGTAAGGAATTTCATCGCAAACTAAAGGGAAGCAACCAGCCGAATACCGTTATAATCATTTATTAGTTCTTTCCCGTTGCGAGTTTTCGTAGCGGTCGGAGACGCTAATAGAATTGTTGGATACGATCGGGTGTGATAGGACCTGCTTGATTCTCATCCTTGGGGTGCTACCTGTGCAGATTGCGGTCCTGATGGGGACTAACTACACACTTTGCGTGTTGTTTACAGGACTTTGCAGAACCAACCCCAGCGGGAGTTTTTTTTTTTTTTTTTGGGGGGGGGGGGGGGGGGAAGAAGCCTACGTGGTTTTTCTAGTTAAATTACATTCAGTAGTTTGCCATTGGTGGCTGAACTGTGAGCTCTGGATACCACTATCAAAACCAGTGCTGCCAAATCGCCTATAGAGGATGATCAAACCCAGCATTACGAAGCGTCTAAGACACAGACGCTTACCTACATATCATTACAATAATATTTTGAAATGACCTGCCCTTGACTATGAACGGTTGCAGTGAGCTACCCCCCGAGATCAAACAACGGTTACAAGGTTTCCAATAAGAATGTCAAATTATAAAGTAGAGATTTCCAAACTGTCTCGACGCATTCTAGTGTTTCGGCTGCAGTCGAAAGGTGGGTCGCTGGAACGCAACGCGTTAAATAAAACAATGAGTAAATGTCCGGCTTGCTAGTAGACCGAACTACTGTGTTGAAAAATTATGTTTATCCAAAAGAAAAGCGTCATCACTATGCAAAGTTTGAAAAGTTCTGTTATAAAGACACAAAAAGTTTACTGGAAATGGTTAATTACGTAAAGTAAAATCTAAATCAAAGAGGACCCATTTGTAACCCTTGAGCATATGGTGCTCCAGACCAATGGCGTTCATTCAGTGGGAGATATAATCAGGATCTTGTCACGGCCTTAACTACCCCGGACATTTCTGATACTCATTTCTAGCTGTGCCAAGTTCAGAGCCCAGGAATACCTCAACTGATAGAATACCCCCTCCACTACCCCCCCCCCCGTGATCCCCAACCGTAGATGAATACCCCAACCAGTGTCAATAGTGATTGTGCCACAACAACCCTCCACTACTCACCCCCCCCCCCCCCCTTCCCCTATATGATGAATGATTGTGCCACAACACCCCAACCAGTGTCCCCATAGTGATTGTGCCACAACCCCCCCCCCCCCGTATGATGAATACCCCAACCAGTGTCATAGTGATTGTGCAACAACAACCCTCAAATGAATACCCCAACCAGTGTCATAGTGATTGTGCCACTCACCCCCCCCCCCCCACCCCCTTCCCCCCCGTGTTCATGATGAATACCCCAACCAGTGTCATAGTGATTGTGCCACAACAACCCTCCACTACTCACCCCCCCCCCCCCCCCGTATGATGAAACATACCCCACCCCAACCAGTGTCATAGTGATTGTGCCACAACAACCCTCCACTACCCCCCCCGTATGATGAATACCCCCAGTGTCCAAGTGATTGTGATGACTACTACCCCCCCCCCCCCCCGTATGTGAATCCCCAACCAGTGTCATAGTGATTGTGCCACAACAACCCTCCACTACTCACTCCCCCCCCCCCCCCCCCAACCGTATGATGAATACCCCAACCACTGTCATAGTGATTGTGCCACAACAACCCTTCACTACTCACCCCCCCCCCCCCAGTGTTGATGAATACCCCCCCACCCCCCCCCCGTAGTGATTGAATACCACAACCACCCTTCACTACTCACCCCACCTTCCCCCGTATGATGAATACCCCAACCCTTTGTCATAGTGATTGTGCCACAACAACCCTACTCCCCCCCCTCCCCCCGTATGATGAATACCCCAACCAGTGTCCATGATTGTGCCAAACCCCCACTACTCAACCCCCCCCTCATGAGTGAATTGTGCCCCAACAGTGTCATAGTGATTGTGCCACAACAACAACCCTTCACTACTCACCCCCCCCCCTTCCCCCGTATGATGAATACCCCAACCAGTGTCATAGTGAGTGTGATAGTGATGAATACCCCAACCAGTGTCATAGTGATTGTGCCACAACAACCCTCCACTACTCACCCCCCCCCCCCCCCCCCGTATGATGAATACCCCAACCAGTGTCATAGTGATTGTGCCACAACAACCCTCCACTACTCACCCCCCCCCCCCCCCCCATAGTGATTGTGCCACATGAATACCCCCCCCCCCCCGTATGTGTACATAGTGATTGATTGTGCCACAACAACCCTTCACTACTCACCCCCCCCCCCCCCCCCGTATGATGAATACCCCACCCACCAGTGTCATAGTGATTGTGCCACAACAACCCTTCACTACTCACCCCCCCCCCCTTCCCCCGTATGATGAATACCCCAACCAGTGTCATAGTGATTGTGCCACAACAACCCTTCACTACTCACCCCCCCCCTTCCCCCGTATGATGAATACCCCAACCAGTGTCATAGTGATTGTGCCACAACAACCCTCCACTACTCACCTCCCCCCCCCCCCCCCCCCCCCCCGTATGATGAATACCCCAACCAGTGTCATAGTGATTGTGCCACAACAACACCTCCACTACTCACCCCCCCCCCCTTCCCCCCCCCAGTATGATGATGAATACCCCAACCAGTGTCATAGTGATTGTGCCACAACAACCCTCCACTACTCACCCCCCCCCCCCCCCCCCGTATGATGAATACCCCAACCAGTGTCATAGTGATTGTGCCACAACAACCCTCCACTACTCACCCCCCCCCCCCCCCCCCCCCCCCTTCCCCCGTATGATGAATACCCCAACCAGTGTCATAGTGATTGTGCCACAACAACCCTCCACTACTCACCCCCCCCCCCCCCCCCCCCCCCCCCCCCCCGCGTATGATGACATAAAATTGGGGAGATGTATCCATGGCAAACATTCAGCTTGATCTCCACAGGGAGCAGGGACTGACGAGACGGCCATCATTGAAATCTTGTGCACCAAGACCAACGAAGAAATTGAGGAGATCAAGGCTGCATACAAGCAAGGTAAGCACCAACATGTGGCACACAACAATAGGCTCTTTTGTTCAAAGTTTATGTTATAGGAAAATGTTTCTAACAACTGAGCAGCATGTTGACAAACTTGCCAGCAGAATGACCAACTGGCCAGCAGGATGACCAACTGACCAGCAGAATGACCAACTGGCCAGCAGAATGACCAACTGGCCAGCAGGATGACCAACTGACCAGCAAGATGACACCATCTGGCCAGCAGGTTGACAAACTTGCCAGCAGGATGACCAACTGACCAGCAAGATGACACCATCTGGCCAGCAGGTTGACAAACTTGCCAGCAGGTTGACAAACTGACCAGCAGGTTGACAAACTTGCCAGCAGGTTGACAAACTGACCAGCAGGTTGACAAACTTGCCAGCAGGTTGACAAACTGACCAGCAGGTTGACAAACTTGCCAGCAGGTTGACAAACTGACCAGCAGGTTGACAAACTTGCCAGCAGGTTGACAAACTGACCAGCAGGTTGACAAACTTGCCAGCAGGTTGACAAACTGACCAGCAGGATGACACCATCTGGTCAGCAGGAAAACCAACTTGCCAACAGGATGACCAAATGACCAGCATGATGACCAACTGATCAGCAGGATGACACAGAAGATGACCCAACGGTCAAAATGAGCAAGAGCGCAGTTGTCAAAGAATTGTATCACCTTCATCGCCAGCTTAGAGATATTATTTATTTTTTAACCTAAATTCCAGCCTACATGATGTCAAACCGACACAAACTGCCCGGGATTTTCCCTCAAGTGGTCATTTTGTTTGCATTGATGATGATAGTCGACACACTGCCACTTAGATCAACCGGTAGTCGATGAGTGTTCAATGGCTAAAGCTATATTATACACACACACACACACACACACACACACACACACACACACACACTTTTTTTTGTGTGTAAACAACATGCAAGACACATCAGCAATTCATAAAAATATTAATAAATGTTACTAATTATTCCCGCCTAGAATATGAAAGCGACCTAGAAGCAGACTTGAGCAGTGATACTTCCGGATATTTTCGCCGTTTGTTGGTGTCACTGCTGGCTGCCGGCAGGGAGTCGGACGAGGGCGGTGTTGATTCTGCTAGGGTGCAGGAAGATGCACAGAAATTCTTTGAGGTACGAGTAAGTTTTGTGGCCTGTCGGTTGGTTGAGAATTCTCTAAAAGACTCAGTTTTAAAAACCCCACTGCACCTCCGCGCGGTAGAGCAGAGCTAGTCAAGCGGCAACCCACAGGCCAAGTCTGGCCCGTGGATGCTTAGAAAGTGGCCCGCCATTCCTTGCTAGTTGTATTGTATTAAAACTTTTTTTATGCTGGGGCTCTGACATCTGACCACCTCTTAGCTGGGGCTGGGGCTCTGACACATGACCCGTGACCATCTCTTAGCTAGAGCTATGACATATGGTCCATGACCATCTCTTAGCTGGAGCTCTGACATCTGGTCCATGACCATCTCTTAGCTGGAGCTCTGACATCTGGCCCATGACCATCTCTTAGCTGGGGCTCTGACATCTGGTCCATGACCATCTCTTAGCTGGAGCTCTGACATCTGGTCCGTGCCCATCTCTTAGCTGGAGCTCTGACATATGACCCATGACCATCTCTTAGCTGGGGCTCTGACATATGGCCCGTGACCATCTCTTAGCTGGAGCTCTGACATATGACCCATGACCATCTCTTAGCTGGAGCTCTGACATCTGGCCCATGACCATCTCTTAGCTGGGGCTCTGACATCTGGCCCGTGACCATCTCTTAGCTGGAGCTCTGACATTTGGTCCGTGACCATCTCTTAGCTGGGGCTCTGACATCTGGCCCGAGACCATCTCTTAGCTGGGGCTCTGACATCTGGCCCGTGACCATCTCTTGGGCTCTGACATCTGGCCCGTGACCATCTCTTAGCTGGAGCTCTGACATCTGGCTCGTGACCTTCTCTTAGCTGGAGCTCTGACATCTGGCCCGTGACCATCTCTTGGGCTCTGACATCTGGTCCGTGACCATCTCTTAGCTGGAGCTGACATCTGGTCCGTGACCATCTCTTAGCTGGAGCTCTGACATATGACCCATGACCATCTCTTAGCTGGAGCTCTGACATCTGGCCCGTGACCATCTCTTAGCTGGAGCTCTGACATCTGGCCCGTGACCATCTCTTAGCTGGAGCTCTGACATCTGGTCCGTGACCATCTCTTAACTAGGGCTCTGACCTGTGACCATCTCTTAGTAAAGGTGTGTTGTGACACATTAGTGTGTCAGCTGCTGCGTGAAGGTGTGTCGCAACAGATTAGTGTGTCAGCTGCTGTGTGAAGGTGTGTCGCGACACACGAGTGTGTCAGGTGCTGTGTAAAGGTGTGTCACAACACATTAGTGTGTCAGCTGCTGCGTGAAGGTGTGTCGCAACAGATTAGTGTGTCAGCTGCTGTGTAAAAGGTGTGTCGCGACACATTAGTGTGTCAGCTGCTGTGTAAAGGTGTGTCACAACACATTAGTGTGTCAGCTGCTGTGTGAAGGTGTGTCGCGACACATTAGTGTGTCAGCTGCTGTGTAAAAGTGTGTTGTGAAAACATAGAGAGATGTGCCTGTCTCTTGTTAGGAGTTAGTCAAACATCAGCTTTGCTGCTAGGCTGAATTACCATGTCATGAAATTTTACTTGTCAAAAAGTTTCACTAACATGAAAAGTTCTTTTTTAGAGTGAGATGAAAGACAGGGCAAAAAAGAAAACCAGCTGCAGTTTTATGTAGTAGTAGTCGTCGTCTATACTTTGTGTGTACATTTAGAATTCCAGACCGCTGGTCAGTCTGTGTTGCTAATATATCTTTGGTCTCTTGATATACCATTTCACTTGATCTGACTTTCTGGGCCAATCTGGCATTAGGTTACTGTTCCTCATTTAGTTTATTTTGTGCATTGTATGTGTTCATGTTATTGTACTGTTACAGTTACAAACTCTAAAAAAAATGTATGTAAATTTTTTCGGCACTGATGAATTTTCAGGCTGGTGAATCTCGATGGGGAACTGATGAAGCTGACTTGAACGCCATCTTGTGCTTGAGAAGTCGAGAGCACCTTCTGGAAGTTTTCCGCGAGTTTGAGAACCTGAGTGGAAAGTCCATTGAGGAATCCATTGAGAGTGAATGCAGCGGGCCTTTACAGCAAGGCTATCTGGCCCTAGGTTAGTAGACATGTGAATTCTTTGTTTATCTTTTCGGTTCTTGCACCACGAAACAAAAGAAAAATTGTCCTTGTATTAATTATATAATATCGTAGGATTTCTTCATGTCTGGTGCTGGGAATAAAATATTTCTGATTTAATAAGTCATTCAAGAGCTTCAGACGCAGAAGCGGCATAGGGAGGATACTAGTCTTATCTCAATGACTCGATGAGTATGCTCAGAAAGATAAGAGAAAGGCTTGGTCCAAGAAAGGATTGGTCCGAGAAAGGCTCTGTGGTTGGTGGCTTTAAAGCGTTCACGGCTAACAAGGACTAGTTTTATTTTCGTGCCAGGACATGTTGGGGTACAATGAAATGAACAAGCTGATAGGCTTGCAGGTAAGGCTACTGTGAAAGCCGGACAAGCCATGGACCAGGCTGATATACTGAATGCTCTAGGAGATTTAAGACGTTTGGTGAACCTCTGAAATGTGTGAATCTGCAAGAGCAACATGTTGAACGGGGTGTCGCCAAACAAGAACACTACGCGGGTTGCCAAAGACAAAATAATAAACCAGCACAGAACTGGTGTCGTTAGCCGCTACACGCTGAGGAGGGGATCCGAGCACTTATGGACCGAGGGGTTCCACGTGCAATGAGGATAATCTTTCGAATAATTAACTAACTAGTCTTATGCCAGGATGAGGAAATGCAATCTGAGAACATTGTGTTATGGCATGGCAGACCAGGCCCTTTACCTTGGCTGGCAGCTGGTCTAAGAGGGAAGCCCCGACAGGTGCACAGACTAAGCACTGGTCTTCTGATCCAGCAGCTTCTGCAGAATCTTTTGTTCCTAATGTATTGGTGTTACCTTTCGTTTAGAGTAAATAAAGCAGGTCGAGCGAGGGATCATGCTGCATGGACGAAAAAGATGATATCTCCAATACTGCTTAGGCTTTGTGAAATGGAAAGAAGGAACTTCATCACTGACTGATCTATGTGGAGACTGCCATGCTTAACTATAGCAGAGTATAATACTATCCTCTGCAAAGACGGAAAGGTACTAGCAAGCAGTAAGTCACTGACACAAAATGTCAGAGAGTACTGGAATGTATGGACCTTGTTGTGTTGCAGGGAAGAAGGTCTTGGAAAGCCAACAAGCCAATCAGACAGAGCTTGGAATCATTGAAGGTGTGCTTCCTGTAGAGAATATAGAGAATAACTGACATGGCCAGACAAACTCATGATTGCCTGACAAGAAGCTGAAAGTTGTTTAGTGACACTAGTATCTGGTGAACCTTGTGTGCCTGTGGTATCTAGCATCAATGTTTTTTCCTCACCTCTTGTATTTTTTCTTTATTTATTTCTCTCTCTACATTCTGCACCATTGATTCAGTGAAACCATTCTGGTCTATATGGGCACCAACAGATTACACACCACTCAAATCCACTTAAACACCACTCAAATCCACTTAAACACCACTCAAATCCACTTAAACACTACTCAAATCCACTTAAACACCACTCAAATCCACTTAAACACCACTCAAATCCACTCAAACACCACTCAAATCCACTTAAACACTACTCAAATCCACTTAAACACCACTCAAATCCACTCAAACACCACTCAAATCCACTCAAATCCACTCAAACCCACTTAAACACTACTCAAATCCACTCAAACACCACTCAAATCCACTTAAACACCACTCAAATCCACTTAAACACCACTCAAATCCACTTAAACACCACTCAAATCCACTTAAACACCACTCAAATCCACTCAAACACCACTCAAATCCACTCAAACACCACTCAAATCCACTCAAACACCACTCAAATCCACTCAAACACCACTCAAATCCACTCAAACACCACTCAAATCCACTCAAACACCACTCAAATCCACTTAAACACCACTCAAATCCACTCAAACACCACTCAAATCCACTTAAACACCACTCAAATCCACTTAAACACCACTCAAATCCACTCAAACACCACTCAAATCCACTTAAACACCACTCAAATCCACTTAAACACCACTCAAATCCACTTAAACACCACTCAAATCCACTCAAATCCACTTAAACACCACTCAAATCCACTCAAACACCACTCAAATCCACTTAAACACCACTTAAATCCACTTAAACACCACTCAAATCCACTTAAACACCACTCAAATTCCCTTAAGCTCTGAAATTGTTATGTAGATTTGTTTGTGCAGTTAAGAAATTTTACCAGAGCATTGTTATTGTAGACCACTCTCTAAATGCTCTCTTGTCGGCCTGAAAGTCGTGTGTTTGAATCTTGTTGGCCTAAAGGTCGTGTGTTTGAATCTTGTTGGCCTAAAGGTCGTGTGTTTGAATCTTGTCGGCCTGAAAGTCGTGTGTTTGAATCTTGTCGGCCTAAAGGTCGTGTGTTTGAATTCACAACTTCAATTTAATTGAATGAGTCTTGTAGGATCCATAAACTGAAAATAAATGTAGACATACAATGAAGATATCTGACTATCGCAACATTTTGGTTTCTCAATATTTCAGTTGAAAGTATCAAAGACACGCCCGGGTTTTTTGCCAGAAGAATTAAAGAAAGTGTTCAAGGTGCAGGGACAAGTGACGCACATCTCATTCGAATCATTGTCACCAGGAGTGAGGTAAGATATTAACAATTAGTTAGATTACTGCATCCTTACAATGTCAAATAGTTCCCGTGAAAGAATGATTTCATCTAACACACACAGTAAAGGCAAAGGACACTTGTCCACACCTTCAGGTGTATTGGGTATATAGGGCTGAACCTATGTTTTATAGACCAATCGACACTTGGTGGGTGATGTGGTCGACACTTGGTGGGTGATGTGGTCAACACTTGGTGGGTGATGTGGTCAGCATCATGCTGGCCGTACTTACTCCTCAGGACTCCATCTGATACCCATTCAAAATTGGGTCAACCTGGGAAACAGGGGCATTCTTTGAAGAAGAAAAAAAAAGTCCTGCCAATCTGCAGGCAAGCGTCTAGCCATTACACCACGGCAGCTCCCTCATCTAACACATTACATTTTAAAATGTAAACCTACATGTTTTAAACCCGGTCTGTCCCAGGAACACCCACCTAAAGCCAGGTCACCAAGCCACATGGGGACTAGCAGGTTTTTTTTTTTTAGTTTACCAACTGGGTTATTCCCGTTAGTAGTACGCTATAGCATGACTGACTTATCTGATAATTAATTTCTTTAAGACATCTGATCCACTAAATATATCAAATAATTAGACAAATAGTTCCCCTGTAACAACTGATATACCTAAGACATCAGAGAATTAGTTCCCCTGTAACTACTGACACATCTAAGACATCAGACAATTAGTTCTTCTATAACTACTGACACACCTAAGACATAAAACAATTAGTTCCTCTATAACTACTGACACACCTAAGACATAAAACAATTAGTTCCTCTATAACTACTGATCAACCTAAGACATAAAACAATTAGTTCCTCTATAACTACTGACACACCTGACATAAAACAATTAGTTCCTCTATAACTACTGACACACCTAAGACATAAAACAATTAGTTCCTCTATAACTACTGACACACCTAAGACATAAAACAATTAGTTCCTCTATAACTACTGATCAACCTAAGACATAAAACAATTAGTTCCTCTATAACTACTGACACACCTAAGACATAAAACAATTAGTTCCTCTATAACTACTGACACACCTAAGACATAAAACAATTAGTTCTTCTATAACTACTGACACACCTAAGACATAAAACAATTAGTTCCTCTATAACTACTGATCAACCTAAGACATAAAACAATTAGTTCCTCTATAACTACTGACACACCTAAGACATAAAACAATTAGTTCCTCTATAACTACTGATCAATCTAAGACACAAAACAATTAGTTCCTCTATAACTACTGACACACCTAAGACATAAAACAATTAGTTCCCCTATTCAACTAAGTTTACCAAGGGGTCAAAATTTGGAGAAAAACAAATGAGGATCATCATGGGCCAGAAGGCTAAACCTTAGCGTAGAAAAATCATTAAAAAAATACACCTGGCAATGATCCGCGGGCCACTTGCTAGGCCTCTGTGGGCCAGATTTGGCCCGCGGGCTGCCAGTTGAATAGCCCTGACCAAAGACATCAGACAATGAATTTCCCTGTAACTACTGATACACCTAAGACATAAGACAATTAGTTCTCCTATAACTACTGATACACCTAAGACATCAGACAATTAGTTCCCCTGTAACTACTGACACACCTAAGACATCAGAAAATTAGTTCCCCTATAACTACTGATACACCTAAGACACCAGACAATTAGTTCCCCTATAACTACTGATACACCTAAGACATCAGACAATTAGTTCCCCTGTAACTACTGATACACCCAAGACATCAGACAATTAGTTCCCCTGTAACTACTGATACACCCAAGACATCAGACAATTAGTTCCCCTGTAACTACTGATACACCTAAGACATCAAACAATTAGTTCCCCTATAACTACTGATACACCTAACACATCAGACAATTAGTTCCCCTGTAACTACTGATACACCTAAGACATCAGACAATTAGTTCCCCTGTAACTACTGATACACCTAACACATCAGACAATTTAGTGAACTTGTAACAAAGATATACACCAAACATAAATTAGTTCTCCATGATACATAAAAAATATCACATTTTCAGATTGACATGGTGGAAATTGACGAGGCCTACCAAGCCAGGTATGAAAAGAGCATTATCGAAGAAATTGAAAACGAGTGCGGAGGAGACTACAAGAAGTTGCTGATTGCCTGTGTGAAAATCCAGGATTAGACAGAAATAACTGTAAAAATTTGCATACTTTGCAGATCTCTAGAAGTAACAAATATTGTTTTGCAATGTTTTCTGGGCTGTTACTGCCGAGCCTGTAGCATCAAGGTTAATCTTTGCTTCAAGTGTAGCTTGTTTTATGTACCAGCTTTCTGTCAAGTTCTATCAGCTTCTATAAACACATAAAAATACATTAAAAATCGTCAAATGTTATGTAACATCAACCCTGGCTGTACGGTATAGAAACCTGGAAAATAAACAGGCTACCAGGGAACAAAAAGTCTCTGAAAATGTGGATACACAAAAGAATAGATCGTATTTCATGGAACAAAAACAATTAAATACAGAAGTTCTGCAGAGACTTAATGAAAAGAGAATCACTGAAATACATTTTTTTTAAAGAGATAATTGAAATATGTCGGCCACACTGAAAGACATGTCTTTTAAAAACAATTCATGAGGAAAACAGCAAGAGGTAGACAACAATACAAGTGGGAGGAAAATATCAAAAGATGGATAAACAGCAGTTTGAGAAAGTACACAAGGACAAGAGACAGAACTTGTTGGAGATCACTGCAACCAATCTTCACTGTGGAGACGGCACTGACTGAATGATACTAACTTCGGAATCTTGAATAACTACATCCTCACCTACAAAAGACTGTTGATAACACATGGCTGTCCCAATTATAACTTCTTATTTCTAGGTTGAAGCCGGTGTCAGGGATTTGCCCAGTTAGCTCGCCATTCAGACTAATAGAGAGCAAGAAGAATCATACTCTAGAGTACCCAGCAGAATACACTGGCAACAATCCACACATTAAAACCGTTTGGAGGCAGTTGTTTGTTTTTTAAAAACTGTCAAGTACAGGGCACTTTGCCACGCCCTCACGTGTACTGAGCGTTGCATTTAGACCTATATTTACCGACCAATCGGCACTTGGTGGGTGATGTGGACAACATCACGCCAGCCACCTTTACTTCCCAGGACTGTACCTGGTACCCATTTATAGACAAGGTCTTTTTGAAAAGAAAAAATCCTGCACCACCAAGACCTAAAACAACGACCGTCTAACCACTACAAAATGGCTCCCTTTGTGAAAACTGTTACTATTTAATATTTTTTAAATTATATTTAGTTTTATTGCACAGCGTACATAGTAGCATCATAGATTGCAAATATTACTGCTTAATTTAGCACAGGCATGAACCACCTAGTCTTATTAATACCTTTTTTATTTTTATCTTAAATGGACTAATTTTTACATGTCTCAATTAATATACAATGACATTTGTTACCTGTTGTTGTTAGGACCGAGTTGTCGGTAGCAGATTAAAAAAATAAAAATAAAACCATCCCCGTTATGTCGCTACTTTTGCAGAATGTCACCTTCACTGCAACCTAATAGAAAGACACTCAATACTTTCTTCCCCTGCCTCATCCAGTGTCATAGACAGGTTGACTGTAATATCCTGTATCCAGTCTCATAGACAGGCTGTCTGTAATGTCCTGTATCCAGTGTCATAGACAGGCTGTCTGTAATGTCCTGTATCCAGTGTCATAGACAGGCTGTCTGTAATGTCCTGTATCCAGTGTCATAGACAGGCTGTCTATAATGTCTTGTATCCAGTGTCATAGACAGGCTGTCTGTAATGTCCTGTATCCAGTGTCATAGACAGGCTGTCTGTAATGTCTTGTATCCAGTGTCATAGACAGGCTGTCTGTAATGTCTTGTATCCAGTGTCATATTGTTCAGTCTCTGACTTTTGCCAAGGAGCCATGCCATAAATGACAGTTCTTCCCCAACCGTTGTGATACAATGAGATACGACAACATTTATTTCAATAAATTATCTATATGGTGTTCGCTGAATACAACAAGGCATCCCTGAGTAGTGTGCTACAAAATCTGATACCTGTGCTGAATTTTACAATCACCAATTACTCTTTATTACTCCAGTAGGGCACTGACATATGATGCTGCACTCATATTCGAATAGACCAATCAGCACTTAGTGGGTCATGTGGACAGCAGCCTGCCTCAATGTGAATTTGTATTCAAGATCTCTGGGCTGACAGACAAATATCTAACCATTAAGCTGCCGCAGCTTTCTGACACTTTACAGGGTCAGTTTGATCAGATTTATTGCCGCCAGTATGACGTACATGTAACAATAACTAAGCGCTTTGTTGCACTTATGCAATTATTTTTTCAGCAATTAAAATGCCTGTGTTATTTTATTTTTAGTCTTGTTAATTTTCTTCTATTAACACTGCTACTTCTTCTTCATAAATCTTCCTTCTTCTTCTCCGTACACTTTATTCTTCTTTGTACATCTTTCTTATCTGTACACTTTATTCTTCACAGTACATCTTTCTTCTTCTACGTACTTTGTGCTTCACTGTACTTCTTCTTCTTCTTCTACGTACACTTTGTGCTTCATAGTACATCTTCTTTCTTCTTCTACGTACACTTTATCTTCATTGTACATCTTCTTTCTTCTTCTCTGTACACTTTATACATCTCCTTTCTTCTCATTAATATTTTTCTTCGTATTTCTCCTTTCTTCTCTGCACCCTTTATTCTTCTTCTTACATCTTTTTTCTTCTCTGTACACTTTATTCTTTATCTTAAATTTTCTTTCTTCTCCTCTGTACACTTTATTCTTTATCTTACATTTTCTTTCTTCTTCTCTGTACATTTTATTCTTTATCTTACATTTTCTTTCTTCTTCTCTGTACACTTTATTCTTTATCTTACATTTTCTTTCTTCTTCTGTACACTTTATTCTTCATCTTACATTTTCTTTCTTCTTCTCTGTACACTTTATCACACATCTTCTCTGTACACGTCTTCTTCTCCATATACTTTATTCTTCTTCGTACATCTTCCTTTTTCTCTGTACGTGTTATTCTTCTTTGAACACCTTCTTTCTTCTTCTCTATAAACTTTATTCTTCTTGTACATCTTTCTTCTTCTCTGTACACTTTATTCTTCATCTTACATCTTCTTTCTTCTTCCCCCTACAATTTATTCAACTTCCCACATCTTCTTTGTTCTCCGTACACCTTCTTTTTTGGTATACATTCTTCTTCTTCGTAATCCTCTTTAATTTACATTCTTTTTCTTTGTAACCTTCTTTATTCTTCTACAATCATCTTCTTTCTCTTTGTGCACTTTATTCTTCTTCGTATGCCTACTTTCTTCTTCTTCGTATACTTTAATCTTCATATAATCTTTTTCTCATTCCTACATCTTCCCTCTTATTCATACACCTTCTTTCTTTTTTCATGCACTTTATTCTTCCTACACCTTCTTTCTCCTTCTTTGTACATCTTCAGATATCAATATGAATACACTTAACGAAAGAATAAAGTCAACTTGATTAAGACTGTTGACATCTCCACAAAGTCTGTCCTCAGTCTGGTGGGGAATACCTTTCTGAGCTCTGCCCACATTGGACACTCTTGAAGTCATTATTTAGCCGTCATTTTACCAATTTCAGTTACAAACATCAGTGTCAGTTACAAACATCAGTGTCACCTACTTATTGAACTAGTGGTATTGTAAGTACTCCATGTCCTGTGTGAAGTTGGAAGATCTTATTCTCTTTGATCTAGCTGGTGGTACACATCCTCTTTTTGGCTACCTGAGTGTTTTGATTCTTGGTTGCACAGGTACATCCTGTAAACCTCTGTTGTTTCTCTTGGATGTGTATACAACTGGCCTGGGCTCAAATGCCAGACCAGCATCAGAAAAGCCAACCACACTGACATTCTGCCACACCCCCCTACCAGTGCCACTGGGTCTACAACAACAGCAGCCTGGCACTAGCATCCAAGCTACCAACACAGGTATTTAAACAGAAACACAAAAAACATGTCCAAAACCAAACAAGCAAGCCAACGAGCATCTCATTTCAAAGTATTTTGTTATTTCTAAAGATGTGCAGGAGTGACAAATAAACGAGAGTATCTTAGGATGAGGACGATGATAAAAGATGAAAGAGAGACTGACGACTCAAATATTTACAGTATACTACACCACCTACCTAGCTCTATATAGTAACAGGTGAGATTTCCTCGTTTCCTAGTGATGGTTGCTATGCATTACTACAGCCCACAAATATGTTTGAGGTCATACATATAACACGTGTATGGCCAATGTCATGTCATAAGTAGCAACTAAAATCAGATTCAGTGTCAATGTAAAATGTAACCCAAGTCTTAAGTTTGCACCTGTGCATACACCACTTACTTATTCACTCTCTTTCACACACACACCAACTTCAAACATCAAGACATTATTTCTCAAACACTTGTCAGGTAAAGTAATGGGGATGTGAGGAGAAGGGGTTTCCAAGCTGACATCTGATCATGTAGCACCTCGCTAACTCATATAAACACACACACACACACACACATATGTTTAAACATCAAGGCATTATTTCTCAAGCACCTGTCAGGTATAAGGGAATGAAGCTCCAAGTTGACATCTGACCACGAAGAACCTCTCTCACATGAACGCACAAGGCATTATTTCTCAAGCACCTGTCAGGTTTAAGAAACCTAGTCAATGAACAGAAAAATTATTCCATTCATTCAAATACTAAATCAATTCTTGTATTACATCATGAACCAAGATAACTAAGAGTCATGTTACCTATCATAGAATAAAACCATTTTGTATGGAATAAATGTTCTCCATATCATGTCAACAAGCTCAGCTGTCACCCAGTGACAGTTCTAGAGAAATGGCACATGACAAACTGTTAATACTGCCTTAATTTGACCCTTGTTCAGGTCAGTACAGGATGGGAGCATCGGGAAAAATGATTGTATGCACATGTTCTGTGCATCTCCTCCTCCCTAGAGTGTAGAGATAAACCAGACAAGCCCCTTCCTGTGTGTGTTTGGGTGTAACTTCTTAATCTGTGTGTGAATTATTTGCCTGATTGATATGTACATGTTGAGTAAACCCCTACGCTAACTATCTCCTGCAATTACCATTTTGCTAGTTACCTCCCATGCTGTCACCACTGTGTTAATTACCTCCCTTGCTCTGACCAGTGTTGTAACCACGTCACCTGTCCATAACTCCTACGCCAATAATAGACTTTTTTTCCCCCGGAATAAAATCTTCATTACCTGCCCAAGTATGACCGATGAGTACGTTCATTCCATTTCATGTTCTAAAAACGGAACTAATGATACCATTTGTCTTTCTCTGGTTCTGTTCAGTGTGCTTCAGCTACATCCAGTATGTTGTATGTTTAATAGATAACATTCTGGAATCACTGTACAAGTCACTCTGCAGACAGTAAAGTGTTCCATCGCTGTCTCACACAGACAGTAAAGTGTTCCATCGCTGTCTCACACAGACAGTAAAGTGTTCCATCACTGTCTCACACAGACAGTAAAGTGTTCCACCACTGTCTCACACAGACAGTAAAGTGTTCCATCACTGTCTCGCACAGACTCTTTGGGGGTACCTCCTCGTCGAAATGCTCAAGCTATTTGCCTTGTGCTTTGAAGGTCTTGGGTTCGCTCCCGTCGGCACATCGTTGAGCTCATGAGCGCAATTTATGTGGAGATCCCTGAGGACTGTCGATGAAGCTAAAGAGTTCATGCTACGTGCACCACTCCTAACAGGCAGCTGGTCATTCTGCTGATAGAGACATGTAGAATAACCCAAGACAACACTTTCAACTCTCACACATGCATGATTAATGTATATGGCATTCAGACATTATTCACTAATGACAGAAACGTTAACACTGTATACGAAGAAACAACTGTCTCCGACTATTCTCCCTGGTCATAAGACTAATGATGCCAATGACAAAAAAGCACTTGATATATTACAGTGATGATGGTGGTGATGATAAAGATGCTACATGACCCTGTTATCTTCAACTGATAGACACTGCTAAGATGATGGCATCGGTCAACCACAATGATGAGTATGTACAACACTAAGTATCAACAATACACCAAAGAGGAGTGGCTCAACAGATAATTTCAACAGTAACAGCAAGAGCAAAGGATGAGAACATGGCTACACAACTGCTTTATCTACAAGAACAGCAAACAACCAGACTGACACCATGTCCTCCATACACAGGACACAGGTTACTGCCAAAGTTGCCTTCATCATTCATTAACAACGTGAGCTAAACACACAATTATGCATAATATAATCAGGACTGCAAAAGATATTGGAGGTGACACACATGAATTAAATCAAACATGTTAAAACTGATGTGCGGAAGATGTACTATCACAAGCCAAGTCACGCCCAATATATTTGTTTTACAGGTATCCGTATTAGTTTTCTTAAAATCATCAATCCAACCATCATTGTTATAAAAATCTGGCATTAAAAACAACAGAATAAATCAAAAAAGACCTAATGAAAAACCTTTAAATTAATGTGTTAGATAAGCAATATAACATGGAGAAGGTAATATATACACCACAGTATGAAAATATAAATGATCTTATGTGCAATGGTCAGATAAATTATAAGGGTGACACAGAACAATTAGCTCTTCTAACGCGACTTTGATTCTTATTGTCACAAATATTTACAAGTAAGACTATCCAAGCAGTCCTGTGAAAGAACACACACAACTGTACAGTTCACTTGTAACCAACACTTTTGCCATGAGAGTTATCAGCACCAGTGACAAAGAACAAATACAAACAACTTCTCGGTCACACTGCTGTTTTAAATGGTAGGCAGCACTGGCCAAAGCATCCAACCTGGCAAAACTCTAGCTGGCCAGGTGTACAGTGATGCTTGCAAGCTGTAGTTGGTCAGGGGATGTATCCACACCTGGCATTGTCTTCTGTAAAGTGTGTGCTCTCGTAGCTTTGTTGCACAGCAATTTAAACCCCAGATGATCCAAGTAACACACTGACGTGGTAACACAATGATTATTAATGCATGTCACCGCTGTGTGCCTACACTTTGTGTACATTTCATCAAGCATTCCAATCTAAACTTTTGCTACCATGAATATTCAGCTATCCCAAAGATTCACACACAATCTAAACTTTTGCTACCATGAATATTCAGCTATCCCAAAGATTCACACACAATCTAAACTTTTGTTACCATGAATATTCAGCTATTCCAAAGATTCACACACAATCTAAACTTTTGCTACCATGAATATTCAGCTATCCCAAAGATTCACACACAATCTAAACTTTTGCTACCATGAATATTCAGCTATCCCAAAGATTCACACACAATCTAAACTTTTGCTACCATGAATATTCAGCTATCCCAAATATTCATATCCCAAAGATTCACACACAATCTAAACTTTTGCTACCATGAATATTCAGCTATCCCAAAGATTCACACACAATCTAAACTTTTGCTGCCATGAACATTCAGCTATCCCAAAGATTCACATATAATTTAAACTTCTACTATCACAACAATGCAGTCATCACAAATATTTGCACATTATCTACAACTTAAAACATCTGCTCACACAATGGTTCAGTTATCCCAAAGATTCACACACAATCTAAACTGCTACTAAGCCAATGATTCAGTCATTCCAAAAGTGCACACACAATCTAAGGTGACGGTGCATGAAGAGGGTGGATGAAATATAGGGAAATGGGAAACAAATATGCAGAGTGAGGACAGAGCAAGAACCAGAGACCTAGATCTTTTCAATTTCTGGAGAAAAAAAAGGAGGAAAAAAAACTACATGGGCCAGCAGAACCTACAAAGATAACTTTGGTGGATAAGGTCAGAATTGCTTCCACATTTTAACAAAAGAATCCTCACCTGACAGAGGATTTTACAATCACACACAATCATTAATTAACAATTGATTCCATATATTCAGTCACACACAATCATCACATGGCAGTACCTAAAACGTCCTTTACTAGTTTTGACAGCTGGTTGTTCAGAAAGCAATGCCTAACTACTGAATGTAAACACTGCCTAATGAAATCCAAAACGGCCAAGAAATGCTGCGGTCAGCTCTGCAACCTCCTGTAAACGACATGCAACTAACCAGAGCCTACAGTCAGTCAGACTTCCCTGTCATTAGCTATTAAAAGAACAACTAACAATCATATTTTCCTGTCATTAGCTATTAAAAGAGCCACAATCGGGCTTTGCTGTAATTAGCTATTAAAAGAACGACGATTAATCTGACTTTTCCTGTCATGACCTACTAAAAGAACCACAATCAATCAGACTTCCCTGTCATTACCTACTAAAAGAACCACCATCAATCAGACTTCCGTCATTACCTACTAAAAGAACCACAATCAATCAGACTTCCCTGTCATTAGCTACTAAAAGAACCACAATCAATCAGACTTCCCTGTCATTAGCTACTAAAAGAACCACAATCAATCAGACTTCCCTGTCATTAGCTACTAAAAGAACCACAATCAATCAGACTTCCCTGTCATTACCTACTAAAAGAACCACAATCAATCAGACTTCCCTGTCATTACCTACTAAAAGAACCACAATCAATCAGACTTCCCTGTCATTACCTACTAAAAGAACCACAATCAATCAGACTTCCCTGTCATTAGCTATTAAAAAAAAACCACCCACTAGCAGTCCGACTGCCCTGTCATGACCTATTATTAAAAAGAACCACTAGCAATCAGATTTCCCTGTCATCACCTACTTCAAGAAACGAAAACATCAGCAATCAAACACATACGTTTCCCTATTTTAGGTCAAAAGCTCAAACTGTTTTTTTTTTTCAAAAGACCATTAAACACACCGCAGCGCAGGCTACCTGAAATTAACAGCCGGAAATTCAATCTCTCACTTTAATTTCACATTCCCCATTGCTCTCTCATTCTTTCTTTCACTCCCTCATCCAAGACAATGAAATGTACAACAAAGGTTGTCAATGGCACTTGTCTAGCTAGAAAACCAGGAGCACTCCAACTTCAATGTTCAACTCTTGTCATAAATAAACTGAGGAATTATAAAATCTTCCAGGAGAAACTTCATGCTGGGTCTGACCTTTGCCCTGGAGCGTAGACCCCTGCCTTGGAGGGATTGGGGGCAAGATTATTGTAGTTGGGGTAGACCCCTTGCCTTGAGAGTAGATCCCTTGTAGTGGTGTGGTAGACCCCTTGCCTTGACAGTAGACCCTTGCCTTGAGAGTAGACCCTTGCCTTGAGAGCAGACCCCTGCCTTGAGCGTAGATCAGTGCTAGGGGCCAGGCCTGTGCCTCGAGTTGAGTCCAGATCAATGTATGTGTCTGTCTTGTCAATGAGGAAGTATTATCTGTGCTGCTGTACTCGACGACGTTTGCTTGCATTCTGCTCCTGAGAGTTATCTGTAACATTTCAAGTAAAAACTGTCATTGCACAAAGAGTTATCTGTAACATTTCAAGTGAAGCTGTCACAGCACAGAGTAATCTGTAGCATTTCAAGTAAAACTGTCATTGCACAGAAAATATCTGTAACATTTCAAGTAAAACTGTCACAGCACAGAGTTATCTGTAACAATTCAAGTAAAACTGTCACAGCACAGAGCTATCTGTAACATTTCAAGTAAAACTGTCTCTGCACAGAGCTATCTGTAACATTTCAAGTAAAACTAACAGCACAGAGTTATCTGTAACATTTCAAGCAAAACTGTCATTGCACAGAAAGTGTAACATTTCAAGCAAAACTGACATTGCACAGAAAGTTATCTGTAACATTTCAAGTAAAACTATCATTGCACAGAAAGTTATCTGTAACATTTCAAGCAAAACTGACATTGCACAGAAAGTTATCTGTAACATTTCAAGTAAAACTGTCACTGCACAGAGTAATCTGTAGCATTTCAAGTAAAAATGTCATTGCACAGAAAATATCTGTAACATTTCAAGTAGAAGTGTCACAGCACAGAGAGTTATTCGTAACATTTCAGTAAAACTGTCAAAATTATTTAAGCATTTATTTATCTATATTATATTATGTTCAATTTGCCAGTAATACAAAGGCTGTGTGCATGTGGGGGGGTGGGGGGTGGGGGGGGTGTACGTTTGGTGTGTGTGTCTGTAATGGAAGAGAGGGGAGATAGGAAGAAAAGAGATTAACATACACTGCAGGACAAACAGTTCTAAAGAACTATTCTAAGAAGCGCACAACTACCAACCTTTAGTTCTGACAGACCGAGTGGGCCGCTTGCCTCCTGCCTTCTCTGCGGAACCCTCAGCTTTCCCCACCGGCGCTGTCTGCTGCCCAACAGCAGGATGTTGAGGATGAGACTCTGTCCCACTGGCAGCAGGTGCTGCTTCCTCCAGGGCTGCATCGCCCAGATCACAGGGCTTGTTTTTGCTGCGTGTCCGCCCACTCAGGATGGGAGTATCAAAGTAAGCTGACCATGGAGGAGAAGAAGAGGATTGCTCTATCATTATGGGGAAGTCAGAGAGTTCACACACATTTCCCTTATAACATGTGAGCCATTTCAGTAAACTCTCACAACAGCAGAGGCACCCCCCAAGAGGATCTATGACCTGCATGACACCAGCTCACAAACACATCTGATGCCTTCTGGCAGTAACAATTCCTCAAACCTGATTTCAATTCTGCAGCAAGCAAGGTACTAACAGCTATGCCACCAGGTTGAGATCCAACTCTTTGAAACAGAAAAAGAACTGAGAATCTGCAACATGTTCCAGCTTAGTCAAAGCTTCCTGTTCTGACAGTGTGCTCCTCCACCAGCAGTAGTTTCTTTAGCTGTGTATGTCCCAGACAGCTGTCACCTGAGTTCTAACTAACATCATCATCCTCATGTCATGACATTACACACCACCCAGGGATCCCAGTCTAGAGCTCCAGCCTGTTCTACCCTGTGCAAATCTCTTCATCAACGGAACCCAGTCTAGCAGCACCCTTGGCCCTTCTGAGCATCACTTCAGGTGACTCTTGGACGTCCTTGTTTCCTCAATCCACTTGTTTCCCATTTCAATGCTTGTTTAGTGATTCTGCCAGATTCTCCCTACAATGATTTCATGTTTTCTACTGTCCTAGCAACAACAAAAAATTCCAAGTTTACCACACCTGTTAAGAGAGGTTTTCTGAAATGGCTCGTGGAAACATGTAAACCAAGCATAAGTTACTAACAAAGTTAACAGTGCAAAATTGGAGCTAAATGCAAACAAAGTCAATAGCGTTAAATCTAATACTGATGAGACACATCACCTGGCTTCAAGTTTGCATCCATCGACAATGAAACACCTCAAACTTGTAGAACAGAACAGTAGAAACTGACACACGGAGGAAGGTGAGGACAAGTATACTTGGTGCAGAGTGGCATGCTTCGCTTAAGAAAAGCAATCTCTTAATCTTTTCTCTGGGTATGCTGGTGTGCTGAGAAATATATAGACGGACAGACTGGCTGGCTCTGCAAAACTTGGTGCAATACTAATGCATGATAAGGCAGATGTGGTTAGGGCCAGGAGAACGTAAACAATACGGAGGAGCAAATGGATCATCACAGTCTGGTGAGAGTGATGCAGTGGGGAGTGACAAGGGAGTTTGGCCGATACACAACACTCAGAGGAAAGGTAAGACATACGTATAATCAGAATGCTACTGGGACCCTACTGGTACTGGAACTCTGCGCTGGCTGCTAAAGATAGGAACAGAGCACTACTGTAGTGAGGAAAGCCACAAGTTCTGTGAGGTCAAATCAACTCAACTGATGGAGAGAACTGACTGCCCACATCAGAAGGAGGCAATCAAAATTCTCTGGTAGTGTCATGAGAAGGAGAAAACTGGAGGACATCGTAACACTGGGAAAGTTGGAGTGGAAAAGATGTCAGGGAGACAGAGAGAGAAGATGCTGGACAACTCGGCACGAAGATCATTTGTGTCACAGTTGACAGAGTACATGAGACAGAAGGCTGTTGATAGACTGCCAAAGCCCCACAGTACGGAGTATAAGAAAAAGTGCAATAAAACATGATCATGAAATTTCATCTCAGCCTGGTGACATCCTAGTATGGCCCTTCGCAGATGTTAAGTGTCAGCAAAAGTCTAAAGCACTCTAACAGTTGATGAGCTTGCCCAGGAGAAGAATAACTCTGCAACACTCTCTTTGGAAATGGTACATTGGTACTGGAGGGACAGGAAAGTTCCTAACTTTACATTGAAAGGAGCATGCCCTTTTCAGGACCAGAAGCCAATATGTTAGGTCTAACCCTGTCATTCAAGAAAGCCAGTTTTCCCACTTTTCCAGATGACATGTTTTCTCTGAGCAGTGGCCAATTTGATTGACTATATAACAGCTTTGGTACTGTGGCAACTGCAGAGTGTGTAGACAAGGTAGGCATGTTTTTATTGACCGGAAAATGTGAGATATCAAGTGTGAAAAACAATTGCTATGTCATTATGACATCATAATAAGGTGATATTGAGATAACTTTGCTCTCTGAGCCTTGTCAGCAAAACCCATTTCCCTGGTAAGGGAAGGGAAAGCAGTTATTGCTGTGCTCTGTACTGAATGATTAATTACCTTCAAACAGAGACAATCACCTTTGCACAAAATAATGAATCTAAATATATCTTCTTCTTCTTCTTTGCGTTCACCAGCTGTAAAGCTGTGTTTGATTTTATACGATACGATTCCTTGCCTCTCAGGCAGATGCACTCCGACTTTGAAGGAAGCTCCCAATTAGTCAACTCTTACGACATGCTTTTCGGTAGGCAGTGGGTATATCCCCCCCCCCCCCCCCCATAATAGGGCCCCAGAATCCACACTGGAAAAATCAAAATATGAAAGCTTTTTTTTTTTAGTGACCTGGGGGTTCGCTAAGATGCAACAGCAAGCAGGCTTGCCTGTCTTCTCTGTGATCACAGGTTTCTACCCCCTCAATGTTTATACAAACTGATCTAGACTCAGTTTCTTCTGCTTCTTTTTCTCTTCTGTCAGTCCTACTGGATAGCGTTTCTGAGAACTATAATGCATTTTTTTAAAAAAAAACTGTCAAATATGTTGTTTTTTTAAACAGATTTTTATGGGGCATAAGGGTTATGGTTTAAAGGTTAGACTCCTAGAGGATTCCTCTTGTGGCACTCCGGCACCATATCGCAATCAGCTACAAAATTTGTTCTCAGCAATGAAACCTCTCGGGTAAACAACACTATACATTGTCTCTCTATTTCTATGTACAGTGAACCAAGATTGTTATCTCCCTTGAATTTTCTTCCGTGTAGCTCTGTGGCATACAGCAGGTCTATTCAAATGGCTTCTGCATCTGGCCCCCGAGGCTTAGCATGTGGCCCGCGGATCATTGCCAAATGTACTGTGTGAATGACCTTTCTATGCTGGGGTTCGTCTTCTGGCCAATGATAATGCCCACTGCCAATATTCTGACCCCAAGTAAACTCAGTCGAAAAGTCCTTGCTTAGAGGTTAGTGGATGCATGTCGTGATTTTTATATACGGGTGTTCTTTCAACGTGTGTGCACGCATGGGGTGTGGGGAGGGGCCACCAATTCTTATGGTTTTTGGGTAATGGCACAAGAGTTGCACTATGATCTTACCATGTGACATCCCCAAAGCTGCCAGTAAGCACACTGTAACCAACCTTCATTACGGAGAAGGCAGCACATCACTATTTTAACGCATCTTCTAAACACAGAACTAGGTTACAGACAGAATATTGATAGCCCAACCTGAGTACAAAAAGATACTTCAACATACAAAGGTGGAAAGTTATCAAGAGAAGGACAAACAGCAAAGGGATCACAACCAGAAAGTATTCGGAGACAGATGGCAGTCAACAGATCTGGACCAAGTGATACAGAGTACAAAAAAATATATACAATGTACATTAGCAAACAATGACAGATCAACAACAATTACAGATACATAACCTACTTTGATCTATGGACTTTTCAGGGACATATGCATAGAACTGGCGCCTGATGCGGTGAGTCTTCTTTTGTCCGTCATCCAGCTTTGAATCTGATAGTCCTCCATCAGAACTTGCAGGCTTCTCTGAAGAAACCTCCCTGCCAGAGTCGGCCGAGTCTTCCAGTGAAAGGTTCAACTGTGAACTATTGTCCTGCTGATCATCTTTTCCATCAGGGACGTCTGCTGTCCTGCTAAGGGAATCGCTGTCCTGAAGAACTGTGCCTTTCTGGGAGTTTTCACTGTGATCTACCGATGACAATGGAGAAGAAAGACCATCTGTAGTCAGACGTTGGTCTTCAACAGCTGAAGAAGCTGCACCAGTGCAATGCAATTGTCTTTCTTTACCTTCACTTCCAGAGTCAGCTGCACTATGATGAAGCCTGGATTCTTTCAAAGCTGAGGTTTTTACCTCATGATAAGTATTACTAAGAAGATTCTCATCCAAAGAACTAGTGTCAGAAACCACTGATCGATGTGACCTGGTTTCCTTGGGACCATTATGATCTTGGTTTTCAGATCCTGATGTCCTCCGCATCCGACTAACGTTGTTTTGAGAATCTGCCTCTTCTTGTGGTGCTTCTAGTGTTACCCGGCTAATCTGCTCCGTCTTCCACTCCTGTGGCTCTTTTTGACCGAGACACTTGCCCAGATGGACACCCTTGCTCTCAGGGCTATCAGTTCTCATGTTTGAATGTATCACTGTGAGATCATCATCAGCTGAGGCACATTTGGCCCTGGACCTTATGCCAGACCCCAGACTGTGCATCACAAGTGGCTGTTTGGCGGGCGTGGGGTCGGCAGAAGAAGCCTCATCAGTGCTATCATCCTCCTGAGTCAACTTTCTCTTCCTGGCTGGTCTTCTAGTCAAAGGGTCTGAATTTAATATTGCTGCAGAATCAGATGAAGACAGATCCAAACTAGGCTGCCGGCGACTATAGTCCTGAGCTCTACGAGGACCACTTTGAATGGTCACAATTTTGCTCTCAGTTACAGCTTCCTCCTCTGCACGGTGAAACTGCAAGGTCAACTCACTTGAGGAAATTTGTTTTTCTACAAACGACTTACCAGGTCTGCTGGTCTTTGTTAAAGAGGACCCCAACGCAGAAGCTAATATTTCTAGAATTGGTTCTTTAACCAGAGGCATACTGGAGTTGGACAAACCTGGGGTCACCTTTACAACGGTATCATCTTTCCCCACGGCTGGTGAAGCCTGGGTGTCTCTGAGGTTGTCTGAGGTCCTGACATGAGCGGCCACAGAAGACAAGGATGAGGTAGAAGGCTGGCTGGTGTGTGCATGAGCAGATTCCTGCAAACTCTGCGATACTGACAAGCTGGTCTTCAAGATACTTCCACTGCAACTGCTGCCTTTAACAGATACCTTGTTTAACGACAGAACATCACAAGCCTGAGCTGGCAAAGGAAAGTCTAAATTGACAACTTCTGTTGACAGAAATGTAGAAAGTGACGTTTCTTGTGATGTCACTATAGACTTTGAAGCGGCATCTGCTTTAGATGACTGAGACAAGCTGGCTGCCGTTCTTCTGTCCCCACTATCTACAGATTTCTGTCGAAGGGTCTTCACCAACTGGTCCCCCTTTGATTCATGAGACACTGATAATGAAACAAAGGAATCACTGGGACCGTCAGTTGTGCACACTGGTAAATGAACACTCCCATGCCCTGCCGAGTCTAAGGAATTATTTTCAGAAGCTTGCTCCAATTTACTTGATGACCTACCATCCTGAGTCAATGTACCCGAAACACTTTCAAACAAATTGCGACTAAACTGTGGTGTGCTACAGCCACTTCGTGAAGATGGTGATGGGTTGTTGGGGATGTGGACCTTTTTCGGTTTTGAATTTGATGATAATTCAGAGGGCAGCGACAACCTGGGACGTGTTGCTGTGTAGCTGGGAGAGTCCTCTGCCTTTCCTAGCACAAGTGGTGCAGTTGATGCTGCAAACGATGTTGGTAAGAATGTGGACAAAGTAGTTGATTTAGCTATAGTGTTGGAAGTTGTGCCTGAAGAAGCAACTGTGATAGAATAAGGCACATGCTTGTTCTGAGTCGACGATGTGGTACCACTGCTGCCAGTGGTTGCTGTTGAGATCTCTCTGGCTGTGAAGATGGAGGAAGGGGACTGACTAGATAAACTGGGCATGTTCGAGGCCGTGGTAGGAGTCACAGGAGAGTCCTGCCTCAGCTGCAGCATAGGCATCACTGGGGAGGCAGCATTGGAATGGCTAGTGTAAGCACTTGAGTTGTCTGCAACATGACTGTTGACAGCGGAATGGCTAGGTTCAGCAGCTGGCGGCTGCTGCGACCCCAGCCTTGCCTGGCTGGTGTCTGAAATAGATGACAAATGACCACTCTGCAGGACATCTTGGTGTGACCGGTTGGACAAATGAAACCTGCTGTCCTGCGAGGAAGACAGTGAGGACTCTGCTCTCGCTTTAGGCAACTGAGTGTGGCGGGTCGTATTTACAGAGGAAGAAATGTTTTTCTCGCTGAAAGAGGAGTTTGACTGCAGACTCAAGAACAAACCATGACTGGTATGAGAACTGTTTGGCTTCATGTCTTTAGATTTATGAGGAGGAAAACTCTGAGACAACATTTTGCTTGAATACGACTTGGAATCGAGCAGATCTGGAGAAGTCCGACTTGAAGAAAAACAGTGTGTATCTTGGAATAAAACATCGGATGCTAATGCTTGTGATCCCATTTGACAAGTGACCAGGTCAGTACGTTCAGAAGTGGTGGATGCAAACTGTAGATTGGTAAGACCAGCCAAATCCAGACCACCGGAGAGAAGAGAGTGTTTATCACTAGCTACAAGCTTCGGCATGCTAGCGCCTGGAGAGCGAACTCCCGACATACGCAGGGAACTCTGAATGCCGACACCAGAGCCTGCCCTGGGTGACCCTCCAGACCCGGGAGATTTGCACGGCCGCATCTGCGAGTAGGAGACGGAGGTTTCTGCCGCAGGCAATGGCTTGACCAATCGTTGGACTGATTCCGTCAGTCGACGCGGCAACGGCAACCCAGGTGCATAAATATGATTCAGCATGTTTACGTTGACAGGGGATGATCGCTTCGAATAAATAGACGTGATGTTACTGCCACCTCGGCTCTCCGCGCCGCTACTTCCAGACCCAGTAATTCTACCATTGACTAACTCCTCCATGTCAAAGATAATCTGATCGGGTCTGTCCTCCGAACTATTCAATCGCTGAGATAAGGCATCAGGAGAGCCAGCTTTCTCCAAGCTGTTTGCTTTCACAGACATCACATGAGAGCTTTCTTTAGCAGACTCAGTTGACTGGTGCAGCTTGCCCAGCCTCTCCAAAACCTCTGCCTGAAGCTTCTGATGTTCGGTCGACACATCCATCAATCCTGTCAATAATACCAGAGACATTTCAGTTACTTTAAAAGGAACATATTTTGCTTTAATTGATATCGAACTAAAGTTTCGCTGCTAGACTTCTTTTGCCAACTTGTCAAAGGATGACTTACCTGGTTAAAACTGGGCCAGCTTCATTCCTTTCTGAGGACACTGTATGAAACCCACTCATGTATTTATTTCTGAGGGGAGTGTAATGACACCCATTCATGTCTCTACTTCTGAGGACAGTGTATGACACCCATTCATGTCTCTACTTCTGATGGGAGTGTAATGACACCCACTCATGTCTCTACTTCTAAAGGGAGTGTATAGCACCCACTCATGTCTCTACTTCTGAGGACAATGTATGAAACTCACTCATGTCTCTACTTCTGAGGGGAGTGTATGAAACCCACTCATGTATCTATTTCTGAGGGAAGCGTTTAACACACACTCATGTATCTATTTCTGGGGGGAGTGTAATGACACCCACTCATGTCTCCATTTCTGAGGGAAGTGTTTAACACCCACTCGTGTATCTATTTCTGAGGGGAGTGTGTGACACCCACTCATGTATCTATTTCTGAGGGGAGTGTATGGCACTCACTCATGTATCTATTTCTGAGAGGAGTGTATGACACCCACTCATGTATCTATTTGTGAAAGAAAGGTTTGAAACCCACTCATGTCTTTATTTGTGAGGGGAGTGTGTGACCCCCACTCATGTCTTTATTTGTGAGGGGAGTGTGTGACCCCCACTCATGACTCTACTTCTGAAGACAGCGTATGGCACTCACTCATGTATCTATTTTTGAGAGGAGTGTCTGACACCCACTCATGTATCTATTTCTGAGGGCAGTGTCTGACACCCACTCATGTATATATTTCTGAGGGCAGTGTATAACACCCACTCATGTCTCTTCTCACAGATCGGCATCTGTTTGTCAGATTCTGTCCACGGTACTGAGCTTATTCTACACAAAGATTTTTTACCTTAACATGTGGCCCTATTTTGCTAATGACATATTCTTTGTTATTTCCAACTGTTGAATTTATTAGTATGCAACTTGCAGAACAATAAGACGGTGGAGAGATAACCAAGCAGACCTGCAAACGCCTCGAGTCACCAAATGAAACGAGAGGGCCAATCACAGAGATAAATAGAGACGGATTATATCTGCTAACATCATCATCATCACGTGGATGCCTCTGCACCTCTGACAGTTTAAATATTTCAGGTGTATACATTACATACATCAACATTTATGTTCAATTTCAAAAATATGCTCTATCCATTCTTGTTCTTCATGTTCATCAGCTGTGAACTGCGGTGGAAAGTTCTGGTTGTTTGTGTTTTGAACTTTAGGCCTGTTCCAGAACCTGAGTCTTGCGTGCGCATCCGTTAAACAGATTTGACTCATTTGTATAAGTAAGGCGCACTCCAACTTCGAAGAAAGCTTCCAATTAGCCGACTCTTACAAGATGTTTTTGGGTAGGCAGTAGGTCCATTCTTGTTTTTCCTGGATCCCACACGACGAGCTCAATAAGGGGTTTGTGTTGACAGATATGTTTATTCCAGATGATCTGAAGACTTCTGTGAAACCCAGTAAATGAGTTTGTATTTGTTGCTGCTGCTTCCCTTATATAAAAAAGACAATTAAAAACCATGAGGTGAAAATCTGTGACAAATGCCGTATTACAAACTGGTACTCATCAGGTGAAGACAGCTGACTGACTGACCTCACTCTCATGATATAAACTTGTGAAGACAGCTGACTGACAGACCTCAGTCTCATGATATGAACTTGTGAAGACAGCTGACTGACAGACCTCAGTCTCATGATATGAACTTGTGAAGACAGCTGACTAAAATACCTCTCTCTCATGATATAAACTTGTGAAGACAGCTGACTGACAGACCTCACTCTCATGATATAAACTTGTGAAGACAGCTGACCGACAGACCTCACTCTCATGATATAAACTTGTGAAGACAGCTGACCGACAGACCTCAGTCTCATGATATAAACTTGTGAAGACAGCTGACCGACAGACCTCAGTCTCATGATATAAACTTGTGAAGACAGCTGACTGACAGACCTCAGTCTCATGATATAAACTTGTGAAGACAGCTGACCAACAGACCTCACTCTCATGATACAAACTTGTGAAGACAGCTGACCGACAGACCTCACTCTCATGATATAAACTTGTGAAGACAGCTGACTGACAGACCTCCCTCTCATGATATAAACTTGTGAAGACAGCTGACTGACAGACCTCCCTCTCATGATATAAACTTGTGAAGACAGCTGACCGACAGACCTCAGTCTCATGATACAAACTTATGAAGACAGCTGACTGACAGACCTCACTCTAATGATATAAACTTGTGAAGACAGCTGACTGACAGACCTCACTCTTATGAGATAAACCTGTGAAGACAGCTGATTGACAGACCTCACTCTAATGATATAAACTTGTGAAGACAGCTGACTGACAGACCTCAGTCTCATGATATAAACTTGTGAAGACAGCTGACTGACAGACCTCACTCTCATGAAATAAACTTGTGAAGACAGCTAACTGAAAGACCTGACTCTCATGATATAAACTTGAGAAGACAGCTGACTGAGAGACCTGACTCTCATGATATAAACTTGTGAAGACAGCTGACCGACAGACCTCAGTCTCGTGATATAAACTTGTGAAGACAGCTGACTGATAGACCTCACTCTCATGATATAAACTTGTGAAGACAGCTGACTGACAGACCTCAGTCTCATGATATAAACTTGTGAGGACAGCTGACTGACAGACCTCACTCTCATGATATAAACTTGTGAAGACAGCTGACTGACAGACCTCACTCTCATGATATAAACTTGTAAAGACAGCTGACTAAAATGGAGATGCAATAAAAGCTTACCTTTTTTTAAACAAAGACCCAAATCTAGAAATGGACGAACAAGCACAGAGTTTACAGACAGTTAAAGTAAAGAAGAAGAAGATCACATTGTATGTCTAGCGACAGGTCTAACCTATGAAATCTCTTGCTCAGCCGTGAACTGTGTAATAACAAGCATTTACCTTTCTTACTATTCTGCTTTGGCGACGACCTGATTTTCTTATGTTGCTTATCACCTGCTGCCTTGACCATCTTCTCAATGCTGCTCTGAGACGAGGGACCGTTGACTTTTCCACTGGATGTGTTACCCTAGGTGACCACAAACAGATGAAATAAATGTGGGGGGAACAAAACATGTAATACATAAATAGACACTGGCCATAAAGAGCAAAGAAAAACATTTGTAGACATTCCTCCTCCTTTTTTTTCTAGCCACCTTAGCGAAGTTTTGGGGCAACAGTTGTGCAAGCACAGACTATTTGCAAGGAAAGGGAACCATGAAAATGATGACCAGGACATGTGTATCCACAAGAAATGATCTTATTTCATGGGAGTAACACAAATACACACACAAGACATCTAGCTTTGGAACTGAGAACAATGATGAAGAAAGTAATAAAAGTGAAACAAATATGTTACATTATAAAGTAAAGGATCCTCTTCCATGCACTCAGACCTATTAGGCATATAGGGTTAAACATATTTTATAGACCAAGTGGCACTTAGTCACCAGCAACCTTGACTTTCCAGGACTTCCCTTGGTACCTTTTTAAGGCTGGGTCAATCTTGGAGCTAAGTTTTTTTTTTCAAAGAGGTTTAGCTGCTACACCCGGATGGCTCCCATGTTACCTTCTATTACTATAAAAACTATACTGGATGGAAATGTACATGTGTCATCTTCTGTGATGTGATTGAAAAATCTCTGGCAGAATCTATTATTTCAAGCAAAGTATAAACAGATGAGCAAGTTCTCCATTTATAGGTTCTGAGGACCATCTGTTGGATGCTGAATTAAGAATCGACATCACAGCACTCAGGACACTACCATAAGCACTCCGTCCCCATCTTCAGCAGCAAGCGAAGAGTTCCTTTTCTGATGGCACCAGTAACTGTATGATTGTATATCCGTCCTTCCCCTCAGTGTTGAGTGTCGGCCAGATCGACTGAAAACTCCACGCAGCACCATTCCCCTCAGACAGTAATGATCTATCTGGGCCTCCACAATGTTCACTCGCTCCCAAAGGGCCCTCACAACATCTGGCTTGCCATATATTAATTTACCACCAAGAGTGACAGAGCCAGTCAGCCTATCTGCCTGCTTTTTTTCCTAACACACCGGTATAACCTGGAGAAAATATCTAAGTCATGTTAACTACCCGAGACGTCTGAAGTGATGTTTGCCACTCTGCACAGAGCATGCTTGTCTCTACCTTTCTCAACATGCTGTTAGTCAGTTTCAATCACGGCATGTGTTTACAGCTGATTCTCAAGCCAGTGGAAGCAGCAGTGACTGCCTCCACTTCCATTCTAAAACCAAAACGTTGTGCTATCCTATGCAGGCTTTGTTGCACTAAGAAATGTCCATTCCCTTTTGCTATGAACCACCCATGCACTTCATCTGCTCCCTCACAGCCATCTGTATAGATAATCACATCACTTGGGGGAGAGTTGGTCATAGGGCCATCTGAAGGATACTGAATATCATAACCATCTGTATAGATAATCACATCACTTGGGGGAGAATTGGTCATAGGGCCATCTGAAGGATACTGAATGTCATAACCATCTGTATAGATAATCACACCACTTGGGGGAGAGTTGGTCATAGGGCCATCTGAAGGATACTGAATGTCATAACCATCTGTATAGATAATCACATCACTTGGGGGAGAGTTGGTCATTGGGCCATCTGAAGGATACTGAATGTCATAACCATCTGTATAGATAATCACATCACTTCACTGGAGAGTTGGTCAGGGCCATCTGAAATACTGGTCATAGGGGAGGGGAAATTGGTCATCTGTATAGATAGATAATCACGTCACTGGAGGAGGGGAAATTGGTCATAGGGCCATCTGTATAGATAGATAATCACGTCACTGGAGGAGGGGAGAGTTGGTCATAGGGCCATCTGTATAGATAGATAATCACGTCACTGGAGGAGGGGGAATTGGTCATAGGGCCATCTGTATAGATAGATAATCACGTCACTGGAGGAGGGGGAATTGGTCATAGGGCCATCTGAAGGATATGGAATGTCAGAGCCATCTGTATAGATAGATAATCACATCACTGGAGGAGGGGAAGTTGGTCATAGGGCCATCTGAAGGATATGGAATGTCAGAGCCATCTGTATAGATAGATAATCACATCACTTGAGCAGAAATGGGTCAGAGCCATCTGAAGGATATGGAATGTCAGAGCCATCTGTATAGATAGATAATCACGTCACTGGAGGAGGGGAGAGTTGGTCATAGGGCCATCTGAAGGATATGAAATGTCAGAGCCATCTGTATAGATAGATAATCACATCACTTGAGCAGAAATGGGTCAGGGCCATCTGAAGGACATGGAATGTCAGAGGTATCTATCCAAAGAATACAACACACATAAGTAATGTTCAATATACCCTGCTGCTGGTCATCTTTTCCCCCCAGGTGTATCACTGACACAATCACAGATCTACACATCATTCCCCAATGGATTACAGGCCCTCCATCTTCTCTTCTCCTTAGAGTTCATCAACTGTAAAAATCTGGCAACAGGTTCTGGCTGACTGTCCACTTCTGGACTTTGGTATTGTTTCAGAATGGGGTGTGGGGGTGTTTCGTCTGTATACTATTCACCTGACAGCTCTATAGTCCAAAGGTTTAAATTTGTAACCAGGTGGATTTTTAAATTGACCTAGTTACCCATCTTCATGAGATGGTACAACCTTAGAGCTATTTTTGTTTGGGTTTTTTAAGTAAAGAAGCTCCTCTGGCTAGGGGGAACATCCTGCCACTTCTAAGGACTGAAGCCAGAGTGTTTCTGTCGGCTAATGCACAGACACATGTAAACGATTTATAAGGAATTGGTTGGTTGTAGATTTCATGGCAGATTTTATGCATGAGTGTCCAGTCTAATTGCTGAAAGGCTTTGTAATTGTCAGAGTAATGCTAGTGTGAAGATTTTCCTCTACAACAGTCACCCAGGTACCATCTCCAGGGAAAATGTGTTGCACAGTTCTCCACCTCCAGCTAGGGTCAAAACAATAGTGTGTGTGTGTGTGTGTGAAAGATTAATATTGGAACTTTCCATCTGCAGAGAAAGATTTGAAGTAATGATTTAGCACAGCACATCATCTGTATAGTCCCTTAACACCAGGTGTCCTTGGGTCACCGGTTGATGTTGACTGTCAAAGTGTCGGGGCACCGGTTGATGTTGACTGTCCAAGTGTCGTTGGGTCACCGATTGATGTTGACTGCCTGGTCAGTTCTCTTCACCTCTGATGTTGACTGCCTGGTCAGTTCTCTTCACCTCTGATGTTGACTGCCTGGTCAGTTCTCTTCCCCTCTGATGTTGACTGCCTGATCAGTTCTCTTCACCTCTGATGTTGACTGCCTGGTCAGTTCTCTTCACCTCTGATGTTGACTGCCTGATCAGTTCTCTTCACCTCTGATGTTGACTGCCTGATCAGTTCTCTTCCCCTCTGATGTTGACTGCCTGATCAGTTCTCTTCACCTCTGATGTTGACTGCCTGGTCAGTTCTCTTCACCTCTGATGTTGACTGCCTGGTCAGTTCTCTTCACCTCTGATGTTGTCTGCCTGATCAGTTCTCTTCACCTCTGATGTTGACTGCCTGATCAGTTCTCTTCACCTCTGATGTTGACTGCCTGGTCAGTTCTCTCCACCTCTGATGGTCAGATGTAATGAAGCCTGCCCATTCATCCGCAATCTGTACCCAGGTCTTTCATAGTCTGCCTTTTCTATATTTCCCCTCTACTGAGAAGATGGGAAAACTTTGATGAAGAACTTGACATCAGATGTGGTGAAGCAAACCAGGTACTGGGACAGCTAGCCCCCCACCCCTTTTCCAGCATAAGACAATTCCAATCAGTACAAAAAAACATACAAAGCATATTCCTTTCCACCCTATGTTACCACTGCAAGGCATGGTTACTTACAACAAACAAGAAAACATACAAAGCATATTCCTTTCCACCCTATGTTACCACTGCCAGGCATGGTTACTTACAACAAACAAGAAAACTTACAAAGCATATTCCTTTCCACCCTATGTTACCACTGCTAGCCATGGTTACTTACAACAAACAAGAAAACATACAAAGCATATTCCTTTCCACCCTATGTTACCACTGCTAGGCATGGTTACTTACAACAAACAAGAAAACTTACAAAGCATATTCCTTTCCACCCTATGTTACTACTGCCAGGCATGGTTACTTACAACAAACAAGAAAACATACAAAGCATATTCCTGTCCACCCTATGTTACCACTGCTAGCCAAGGTTACTTACAACAAACAAGAAAACATACAAAGCATATTCCTTTCCACCCTGTTACCACTGCTAGGCATTTACAACACCCTATTCCTTTCCACTGCTAGGCATGGTTACTTACAAGAAAACATACAAAGCATACAACACAGGCAAAAAAACATACAAAGCATATTCCTTTCCACCCTATGTTACCACTGCCAGGCATGGTTACTTACAACAAACAAGAAAACATACAAAGCATATTCCTGTCCACCCTATGTTACCACTGCCAGGCATGGTTACTTACAACAAACAAGAAAACATACAAAGCATATTCCTTTCCACCCTATGTTACCACTGCTAGCCATGGTTACTTACAACAAACAAGAAAACATACAAAGCATATTCCTTTCCACCCTATGTTACTACTGCCAGGCATGGTTACTTACAACAAACAAGAAAACATACAAAGCATATTCACCCTATGTTACCACTGCTAGCCATGGTTATTACAACAAACAAGAAAACATACAAAGCATATTCCTGTCCACCCTATGTTACCACTGCTAGCCATGGTTCCTTTCCACTTACAACAATGGTTACAACAACAAACAAGAAAACATACAAAGCATATTCCTTTCCACCCTATGTTACCACTGCTAGCCATGGTTACTTACAACAAACAAGAAAACATACAAAGCATATTCCTGTCCACCCTATGTTACCACTGCTAGGCATGGTTACTTACAAAAAACAAGAAAACATACAAAGCATATTCCTGTCCACCCTATGTTACCACTGCCAGGCATGGTTACTTACAACAAACAAGAAAACTTACAAAGCATATTCCTGTCCACCCTATGTTACCACTGCCAGGCATGGTTACTTACAACACAAGAAAACATACAAAGCATATTCCTGCCAGGCTATGTTACCACTTAGGCATACTTACAACAAGAAAACATACAAAGCATATTCCTGTCCACCCTATGTTACCACTGCTAGCCATGGTTACTTACAACAAACAAGAAAACATACAAAGCATATTCCTGTCCACCCTATGTTACCACTGCCAGCCATGGTTACTTACAACAAACAAGAAAACATACAAAGCATATTCCTTTCCACCCTATGTTACCACTGCCAGGCATGGTTACTTACAACAAACAAGAAAACATACAAAGCATATTCCTGTCCACCCTATGTTACCATTGCTAGGCATGGTTACTTACAACAAACAAGAAAACATACAAAGCATATTCCTGTCCACCCTATGTTACCACTGCTAGGCATGGTTACTTACAACAAACAAGAAAACATACAAAGCATATTCCTGTCCACCCTATGTTACCACTGCCAGCCATGGTTACTTACAACAAACAAGAAAACATACAAAGCATATTCCTGTCCACCCTATGTTACCACTGCTAGGCATGGTTACTTACAACAAACAAGAAAACATACAAAGCATATTCCTGTCCACCCTATGTTACCACTGCCAGGCATAGTTACTTACAACAAACAAGAAAACATACAAAGCATAAAGCACTGCTAGCCATATTCAACAAACAAGAAAACATACAAAGCATATTCCTATCCACCCTATGTTACCACCCAGGCTGCTACTTAAACAAGAAAACATACAAAGCATATTCCTGTCCACCCTATTTACCACTGCTAGGCAACTTACAACAAACAAGAAAACATACAAAGCATATTCCTGTCCACCCTATGTTACCACTGCCAGGCATGTTACTTACAACACAAGAAAACTACAAAGCATATTCCTGTCCACCCTAGTTACCAGGCATGGTTACTTACAACAAACAAGAAAACATACAAAGCATATTCCTGTCCACCCTATGTTACCACTGCCAGGCATGGTTACTTACAACAAACAAGAAAACATACAAAGCATATTCCTGTCCACCCTCCACTGCCAGGCATGGTTACTTACAACCAAGAAAACATACAAAGCATATTCCTGTCCACCCTATGTTACCACTGCCAGCCATGGTTACTTACAACAAACAAGAAAACATACAAAGCATATTCCTGTCCACCCTATGTTACCACTGCTAGGCATGGTTACTTACAACAAACAAGAAAACATACAAAGCATATTCCTGTCCACCCTATGTTACCACTGCTAGGCATGGTTACCAACAAACATGTTTACAAAGCATATTCCTGCCACCCTATGTTACCACTGCCAGGCATAGTTACTTACAACAAACAAGAAAACATACAAAGCATATTCCTGTCCACCCTATGTTACCACTGCCAGCCATGGTTACTTACAACAAACAAGAAAACAAAATTAGTCCACCCTATGACCACAGAGTTACTTACAACAAACAAGAAAACAAAATTAGGACCACAGAAATGAGACACTGAGAAAGGCTACAGGAAGAGATAATAATCAGGAATGAGGTCACAAGAAAAGAAAAGAAGGCACAGAACCAATTCTAATTTACACATACAGCCAGCACAACAGAGAACGCTTTGTATCACCGTAGCATACAAGGTATATACTAGAAGACAAGAAGGATGTAGATCACGAGGTAGATCAAGAATATGGAAATATAACATCAGAGAAACTCCACCATGACAAGATGAGTCTACGCTCGAGGCAGCCAGAAGAGCAAGAAGCAGAACCTCATATCACCCTCCACAACAGAAGGGGTGTAAAATAGGAAATTAACAAGACGCATAAGTTGTTCTCTCATTAAAAGATGTGATACAACGTATCTGAACATCAAAAGGAACAAAGCTAAAAGTGTGCACCGCAAGTGTAAAACAGATTCTGGACATTTTTGTCCTCAACCTTTTCATTCTTGTTATTTTTACAGAAATTCGCTTGGTTTGCACCCTACAGTTCAAGGTCATGTGTTTTTAAAATTAGTTTAATAGACTCACCAAATCTTCGGGGCTCTGACCATTCTCCCGCAGTCTTCCTGGTAAGCTATGATTGGGCTGTCCCTTACTGTCCTCCACCCCCACCTCCATAGAAGACTGCGAACTGCCAGTTAGGATGCCAGCCTGTTTACCCATTGACATGACATGAGTATGGAAGAAGTGTGAAATGTCCGTGACCGCTGAGGTTGAAACAACCACACTGTTCTTGCTGGTGTGGCTGACATCTGTAATCTGGGTCAGTTTAGGCTGTGCTGCACTATCACTGGGGTTCATCATGTACCCAACGGTTATCGTGTTTGAGCTAGAATTCACTTTTGATTCAAGTTTACAGTTAACTGGTTTCTGCACGGAGGCTTTGCTGCCATCTTCTACTTCGGCCCCTGACTGCCCAGAACGGAACTCAGCGTCACCAGGTTCCGATGGCGTATCATCAGATCTCTCTGAGGAACTGCCAATCCCAGAGTCATGATTTTCCGCCTTGACGCTCGAGTGCTCAAGAAGAACCACAGCTCCTGCATGTTCTGGAAGAGTATCAGCGACGGACTGACTGTGATTGGAGTTTTCATCCCCTTCAGACGAAGTCTTGTTGTCTGCAGGGCTGCTGGTACCATTCTGAGAGTCTGCGTGCTTGTGTGGCAAAGAATTGAGCAAAATTTGGTTGGTTAAGGGGGTGACCATTTCGGAGCTTGCTGCCTGACTGTTGTGGTTGGGAGGGAAATGGCTGGTGTCAGCTATCTTCATCCTGTTTGTTGCCTGGGCATGGGGGATTTGAGATGAAGATAATGATGCTGATCCCAATCGGGGGGTCAGTGAATTTGATGACGATACAGAAGTGCCGAACCTGCATACTGTCCATAGTACTGTCTCTAGGCTCTAAATGGCCTGTGTACGGGTTGATGATCTTCCCTGCTGCTATTTCCATACTGAATGGGTCTAAATCTTTAGGGAATGGATCCTGTCCATTTGAATCAGAAATGTTAGAACTGCTATATCCAGTTCCTATTGCACTTCTACTACTGAAGTCAGAATGGAACTCATCTGAAGGACTACCAATGTGACTCTCACTACCCGGACGGTCTGATAAAAATGAAGGTTTACAGTCTGGAAGAGGTTTTAACATGAAGGAATCTGCTATATGGCTGGCAGCAAGCATGTCAGTTCTAGAAGGCATGAAATCCAAAGATGTGGCAGAGCTTTCTGTCACTCTGCTGTTGCTATGCTCCACGCTGACATCTGATGGAAACAGCCATGAGTGGACACCAGCTCTGCCGCTGACAGCACTGTCAGTTAAATACGCCTTCATAACTCCATCTTTCTGCTTTTTTGGACGTCTTTTCTTAGACGGAGAGCCGCTGTTGAAATCTCCCGCAGCCAGGGGCTTGTTTGGATGACCACTGGCTAGGCCCACAGTAGCCATCAGCGGGTCAGTCTGCAGCAGGTTGACCAACAGCGGGCTGGAGGAAGTGACTGGTTTTCCTTGCCTGTTGGCATTACTGCTGCTGGGGTAGGGGGGAGGCGGTGGCAGGTCTATCATGAAGCTGGGTGTTGGAGACGATGGGGGGACATGAAGCGGCAGAGCATTCACGTGTGCACTTGAAGCCGCTGGTGAAAGTCTTAATGCACTCACAGGATTGAAGGTGTTCATGTTGTGCTGAAACATGTGGGCACTAGGTGCCGGACTGGAAAGGCTTTGTTGAGTGTTCTGTGTATCATGCCCTAGTGACCCCACCAGCCTGCCGTTCACTGGCTGTAGATGATGTGTGGAGTTGGTAGCTGAACTCTGACCTGCAGAGGAAGATAGCCTGGAGACTGGCGGATGAAATGCTCCAGGGGTCTTGGTAAATGGAAAGCTGCTGTTCAAGTTAGAGCCTTTAAGCGATGAACTCTGCAAGGAGGTGCTGACAATACTATTGGGTCTAAACACAGTACTGCTTCCTGAAGGACCAGCTACCGAGTCCAAGGACTGAGGGAGGTCTAGGTCAAAGCTAAGCGCAGGAACAGATGAAGTCGCTGATCCTAAAATAGAATCAAAGATGGCGTTTTGCCGCAGGCCAGATCCTTGCCTCAGGTAGTTCACAATGTTTCTTCTAGTGAGATCATCACTGCTAGATCCTTGGGGTGACCCATAATCTTCAGAGTTCTGAATACCTGAATCCGAGCCACCGGCACTGAGTGGCAGCGATGAGTTGCCAGCTTGGGATACTGGCTGAGTGCGTAACAGCAACTGGGTTGGCTCATTATTGCGGCCAGCTATGGTCAAAGAGATCTGGGTGTCTCCCTGAATCTGCACAGACAAAACGCCCATCTGCCGGAGTGCATCATTTCCATTCTGGGCTAACTGCCGTAGTCGGATGGCTGCAGCTCTAGGAATAGTGACTGTCACCTTGACACTATTCCATGGTTCTATTTTCTTGACCTGTAACCTCTGCTTTTCTGAAAAGTAAAAACAAACATTTTTTATATTTAAAACAAAACAGTTTCACACACAAACTATCTGATGACATTAAAAAACAAAAAGATAAAATTCAAGCAGGTGGGGAAAATGGAGGGTACATTTTAAAATTCAAGTAAAGTGTGAGCAGCCTGCAGAATGCCCAGTAAGTGCATGGTTATGGCCAAGATATCCAGGCTCCACCCGATGTCAACATACTGACCTCAATCCAGAAACTGTGATTCTCATGCTCTCTTTAAGTGTCCCAGGTCTGGTTCTTTCTGACATACTTTCACCTTTTTGGGGTTCTCATTGGTCCTGACAATCCCACTTCTTCAACTTTCCTCTGACCTCCCACCACCCCTCTAAAACATCCCACTAGCTCTGACCCTAAACTCATGACCTCATTCCATGCCACATTAACCTTGGTCTGGTCCCCATGGAAGCATCTCATGCTATGTAACCTCAGTCTTGACCGCCTGCCACCATGTCATGTGTCATTAAGCCTGGACTTGACCGCCCGCCACCATGTCATGTGTCGTTAACTCTTGTCTTGACCGCCTGCCACCATGTCATGTGTCGTTGACTCTGGTCTTGACCGCCTGCCAGCATGTCATGTGTCGTTAACTCTGGTCTTGACCACCTGCCACCATGTCATGTGTCGTTAACTCTGGTCTTGACCGCCCGCCACCATGTCATGTGTCGTTAACTCTGGTCTTGACCGCCCGCCACCATGTCATGTGTCGTTAACTCTGGTCTTGACCACCCGCCACCATGTCATGTGTCGTTAACTCTGGACTTGACCGCCCGCCACCATGTCATGTGTCGTTAACTCTGGTCTTGACCGCCCGCCACCATGTCATGTGTCGTTAACTCTGGTCTTGACCGCCTGCCACCATGTCATGTGTCGTTAACTCTGGTCTTGACCGCCTGCCACCATGTCATGTGTCGTTAATCCTGGTCTTAACCCTCTGCCACCATGTCATGTATCAGTGATCCTGGTCTTGGCCGCCTGTCACCAGGTCATGTGACATTAATCCTGGTCTTGACTGCCTGCCACCAGGTCATGTGACGTTAATCCTGGTCTTGGCCACATGCCACCATGTCCAGATGACCATATTCTGGGACCCAAAAGGTTATTTGTTAATGACCTGCGATTCCAGCTTAGCCCAGTTGTAAATACTGTCAGTCAGTCAGTAGCCTGTCCTTTGCAGAACCTTGCTCTCATAACAACCTTCCAGAAAACTTCTTGATCATAAGCAAGATGTCCCGCATCCCATACAGCCTTCTGGAAATCCTCTGCCACACTGAAGTATGAATGCATTTATGTGTTGTCCAGCTTGTTTAGCAAATGTCCAGGTCTCCAGTTTGAAACAGGCACAATGGAATATCCAGTATGAAGTCAGCTGACTTGATGCTGACAACATCCATTGTATACCAACTGTTCACAACAACAAAACTGATGGTAGCACGATATATCTAATAAGTCGCAAGACTGTGAAAGGAGAACTTTTATCTTTTTTTTTTTTAACCTAAGGATCCAATGCCCAATCATACTAGCATTGTGTAATCTTAAAAACAGTGCACCATCAAAATTTGCAACCTTACCCAAGTATCCCAGTCAAGAATAGCTGAAAACCCCATCTTCTTTCTGGTCATCGGTTGTAAACTCTGGTCGATAGTTCTGGTTGCTCATTTATTTCTGGACTTTCGCCCTGATCCAGAACCTGTAGTTTTGCGTGCACATCCATTTTACAGATTTAGATTAGTTGTATGCAGACTGCTGGTCCCTTGCCTCTCAGGCAGAAGCACTCCGACTTCGAGGGAAGCCACCAATTAGTTAGCTTGTGGGGGCGGTAGCTAATCTATTATTTCTCCCCCAAAATGGGGCCCCAGAATGCACCCAGGGAAGAAGCTCCTAAAGATAGACAATGGGCAGCCAACAGTTCAGCATCTCTAGGGTAGCTACTACATCAACATACAACGAACATAAAGAGAGGAGGGTAGCAACTCTAGCAAAGAAACTAACCTGTCAGCAATAAATCCTTGAGGCGGTGCCTGAACCTCTCTATTCTGATGCTCAACTCTGGGTCATGGAAGTCACCCTCGCAAGTCAGTACAGCTTCCACAACATCCTCCTCCTGTCCCATTGCGCCATCCATCAGAGGCACACCTAAACACACAAATCAATGGTTAAATCAGCAGATCTACATGCAGAAAGTTACACAATCCTGCAGTCTTCTAGTGTGTTTCTTTGTGTGTGTGCCTTTCCATTCCAAATGCAGGCAGCATAGGCCCTCAACCAGCTCCCAGTCTTTTACCTGGTTGGGTTTTACACTTTGATGTTTACAGAATGAGGGAGACAAACTCAGCCAAACCCTGTTTGGTAACCTGGCGTGATACCCATGATACACAACAGCCTTATTATGACTCTTTACTTACCTCAATGGCCAAGAGAACATTTGGATAAACCCTGTGCAGTATTTAGCAAATTAACTTAGATTTTATGTCAGAAGGAGCTGCAGTTGCTAGCAGTTATTTATTCCCTTCCATCTCTAGACAATAGCAAAGGTTTCATCCGCAAAGTTGCAGGATTGTTTCCCAACTAGTGCAGTTTTTGGACACGCCCATGCTATATTATAAGTAGGTATCAGTGTTTGCAAATTTATGAAAATTCTGAATAAAATCCAGCAAGGAACAGAACTGGATAACCAAGTTCACGTTTTTATGTCTCCAGGATATGCATGGGAGCCTTTCTCCTCTTAGCGCTCACCGGCTGTAAACTCTGGCAGACTGTTCTGGTTCTTCATCCTCTTCCGGACTTTGTGGTTTTGTTTCAGGACATCAGTTGTGCATACATTTGTATTACAGATCTGGCTTATTTGTATGCAGGCTGCTGGTTTCTCACCTACCTAGCAGATGCTCGTGACTTTGAATAAAACACCCATAATTAATCAACTCTTACAATATGCTTGATATAGGGGCTAGTAGGTCTATTCTCCTCCCTTCCCCATCCCATAATGGGATCACAGAGTCCATAGCAGAACCGGAGGAGCCATGGTGGCACAGTGGTTAGTGAGTTTTCCAGTTAAAACAATGGACCAGGTTTAAGCCCCAGCAATGGCTGGATTTTGTTTCCCCAGCAAGCAAGGTAGCGGATGACCCAGTCTTTAAAAGCAAGGGTACAAGAAAAAATGTTTATGTGAATTGTATGAGTAATAGGAAAACTCACCATTCCTCATTACCGGATTTGTTTTAAAAACTACCTTGGCTCCCACATCAACCCAGCCTAAGATTGGTACCTAATAACAAAGACAGAGGAAGTAAATGCGACTGATATGATACTGATGATTTCACCCACCTAGTGTTGACTGATCTAGAAAATATAGGTCTAGCCCTATATACCCGATGGTGTGGAAAAGGATTCTCCCCCCCCCCCCCCCCACAGGGGATAAACAATTCTTTTACAGAATGCATTCACAATGCTGTAAATATGGTTGCCATTAACAAAACTTAGACAGGAACTGAACTCTAAAACTATAACAAGTCCTAGAGGAATGCACAAAAACACTGAAATAATATATTATCAGGGTGTCTACTGTTGACCAATAAGAAAGACTACTATAACTGAAATTAAAGAAGTATAAAACTACCTCACGTTTGTTATTTGTTATTGATAACAGAGAAACTCCATATTTTCACATCAAAAAAATTATTTAAAAAATTAAGAGACTTCATGAGAAAATATGAGAAAAATTAGGGCAATATTTTTAACGCCATAGAAAGGGAGCAGTGCATTAAATTCGATGATATTATATTGTATATATATCGCTTTGACCATAGAAGAAAGTGTGAATGAGAATGCTGAATGATCTAGCTCTACTCATCTATGATTTGCTTTACTTTGCCCCGACCCCTACCTAGCACGGGTAACTATATAGTAAAGAAGTAGATAAATGAGTAAAAACAACTGTAAACTAGTGTCGAATCTTACTGCTAAATGCAGGTAGTGTGGATGTAGCCAGCCGCAACGATCGGGGTGTCCTGATGTCATGTTTGTGATCACTTTGCTGTAGTCTATCAATGTGACACGCACGGCCATGTTTGCAAAGATCATTCGGCACAAAGTGGGTCAACACAAGTTTGATATTTTTGCTCTCTCTCAACTTAGTTTTTCAGAAAATATGCTCGCTCGATATTTTAAAACAGAAAACGGCTACACAATATATGTAAAACTGGCAACAAAACTGTAGAAGCGATAAAACTGACTGGTGAAAGCGCGTTCAAGTTTCACAAAACGGCCAGGCCTTGCTGGCAGATTTCGCAGCAATGGCCGGAAAGGCCCTTGTTTAGGTACAGCTTAAAATGGTAGTATATTGGAACGAGCACGGCTAATTTAAATTATTACCACCCGGTGTTTATAGTTCGAAGTTTTGTGAATGTCAAAGCAGCAAGTTTACCTAAATAGGTGTCCAAATGCCACTAGATATTCCCATGTATCACAAACGCTATGGAACAATAACAAGAGCCGCCATTTGCAATGATTCCAAAACGCATGCGCAATAACCGACAGAATTCTGGGAGGGAGTGAGGCAGGCAGGCCGGACTGGACCACGGACGTTATATGGGGGTTCATCTTCTTACTCAACTTTTCAACCACTATAACCTCATTCCTGCATTTGACTACAAGCTACACCTTATCCGTGAAGTATACTAATATAAGTGGGTTATGCGGTTAAACGGGGTTTACTGGGATTTACCCCTGTTTGGTTGTCATCCTCAAGGTGTTCATTCTCCGGACAGCAGTTCTTGTGGAGAATAGTGACCATTATACCAACTTGTATTCTTCTTTTCTGTACCCACGACTTTGCTTTCGTGAGCAAATACATTACTAATTAACTGAGTGTATTCGCGGTGTTGTTGGTGGCACCATCGATTGTGTGTGCAGTAATGTGGTGACCACGAGAAACTCAGTCAAGCAGAATTTAATGGGCGTGGACAACAGATAGGCTAAAACTATTATCAAGAAATTGTACTTTTTTTTTTTGGGGGGGGGGGTGACACATATTGTCGGGGGGGGGGGGGGGGGGGTAGATGAAGTTAATCATGGTAGATGAAGTTGTCAAATAAAAAGTCTGCAGAATAGCTTTGGTTACTCTTGAATACGCCAACTTTTTTCAATTTCCAACTGCCAAAGAATTTTGTTACCTGCGCAACAATACATACAGGCGTGCGATCTTACTATCCGGAGACCAGGAAAAAATACTTGAAATCCATGTGAAAAAAAATCCCCGCTTTCACCGGGACCTCCAGCACTCGAGGCGGACGCCATGCCTCGAGACCACTCCGCGCTTATCGACTGTTGCGCCCCACGACGCTTGACGGTACATTTTGAAGTCTAGGGTGATTATAACGATTGCTGAGAAGCTTCAACCTCCCCCTCCACACACAGTCTTAATTCTAATGTAAACTAAAAGTAAAGTAAATTGTATACGAAAAGCAGGACGAGTCTGAACAGCCAATCATCGTTTTCCTCTTCTCTTTCTCGGGTTACCTCATCATCATCAATCATTTAGTGACTTAGGCAACTTATTCTGACGACAAGTCAACCAGTGCAATTATCATTGAGCAAAACTGATGATTGGCATCTCATCATCATCATCAGGTGCCTTGCTGACTGGCGTGGGCGATCATGCCTCTCCATAATCTGCGATCGCCTGCAGCATGTATCAGTTGGTGTGCCGACACACCCCCATGCCATGCAACAAGACTGACAAGCATCTTCTCTCTTTGTCTTCCTCTATCCCTCCTTCCACAGATCTTTCAGGTGGTCACAACATGTTCTAGTTACCCTCTTTTCATAACATGGCTGAAAAATGATGACTGTCTCTTCTGATGTCTGTGATAAGTTGTCTTCGGCTCCCACCTCTTTCAAAACCTCTTGGTTGCTCTTTTTGGCTGTCCAAGGTATTCTAAGCATTCTTCTGTAAAACCACATCTCCGAGCTGATCAGACAGTCAACTGGTGACCCAACGACACGTAGTGTTACAGGATGATGATGAAAACTGATGATCTGCTTCCATATGAGAATACGATACAGCGAGGATTTTTTTCTGGCAGGACGAAGCAACACACAGTACCGCCTCCTGTTATCTGTGCATCAGTTATTCAGCGCTATTATAATAGACACTCTGTAGTGAGTATCGGCACCTCTTTAATGCTCTTTGGTTCGATTACCGGCACCTTTTATATATTATAAAAGGCCCTCGGTTACAGCATATGGAAACAACACCAATACAAACTGGACATGGTCCCATCACGCCTCTTTACAGATCAAACATTTAAACTTGACACCGCTGCCAAATGTTTCATCATCTCTGCACCGAACATTGACCCGCTGAGACAAACATTAATTCTTCATTGTCGTTTGTCTGAGTAACATAATAGTGCTGCGACTGTTTACAGCATAGCTGCGATATTTGCGCCTTCCAGTCCATACAGCCGACTTCGTCGGGTCAGTGAGTGACTTTCAAACAACGAGAGACTAATACCCGGCGACACTGGTCAGATATCTCCTGGGTACATCCCAGAAACCTTGTTCAACCTTTAGGTTATATTGAGGCCGCCGATAACAAACGGGCGGGCTTTAAAATGAAAGGGGAAAAATTGCGTTCCATGCTTGGGGGGAGGGGGGAGGGGTAATCTGGTTAGCCTTCCAGTTTGGTTTCACGGAACCTGACGTAACTTAATTTATGTGATGTCGTCTTTGCCCTTTTATCTACAGTTGTTGTCCCTTGAGAAGCCATCCAGGGCAACGAGACAAATATATGCACAGCTATCATCGGGTATCAGCTAAGTCCTCACTAGGACGACACATCATCGTCTTATCCCGTAGCCTTTCTTGGGCAATGCTTGGAGGTCTGTCGAGGTGAAACATCAGCAATCATAGAGTTCTCCACGTCGGCGTCGGTGGCTTGGGTGTTGCGAACACGCTTGGTAATTCCGATGTGTCCGGTTCGAATTGGCATCAGACGATTTTGCATTGGTGTCGAAAGTGTTATCAAGAGCTGACCGTTTAGAAGCAATGGTAAGCTACTGAACGTAAAATCGCCTAGTAAAATAAAATAAAAATAGCCCCCGATAAAATGCTGGGGTTGGTTCTGCAACGCAGCTAGAAAAATATCCCAGAACAAACAAACATCAATGACTTCCTTTTGGCGAGGCAGCCATTATCCTCACCTTGTCAACTTTCGTCTTCATATTCCTAGTTGGTTCTTTACCTGGCATGTTGGTTTTGTGCCTAAATGGTTGACTCTGTGCTAAAATTGCCGACTATGTCCACAAGTTATTATTTATCTTGATTTTAATCCTTCACCTTAATTCTTCGTTCAATACTTTTCTGATAACTTAATATACCCACTGACATACCTATCTGGTACAGCTCTTTAGTACAGCTTTCTGAATCAGCTCTCTCGCACAACTCTTTAGTACGCACTTTATGCAACTGTAAATGGCAGAAGCGCTTGGTCACTGAATATCCCCAAAGGAGATATTTAAACAAATAACCACCAGGGCAACAGATCGGTGCACTACCTTATTCGATCCAAAGAAGTGTAAATAAATAAACAAGCATTTATGTAGTGAAGTTGTTAAACTGTGGAGCGCAATGATCGCTATCAGCTATTTTGAGAGTCAGAAAAAAAGTGCATAGAGGCTCATTGCTTGCTACAACGAAGACCAGGACATGATACCACAACACCTAGTTTAAGAATGGAGGCTGAGGCAGTCACTGTAGCTTTCTGCTGGGTTGAGAACCAGCTGCTGACACATGTATGATTGTAACAGACTCAAAAAGCATGCGGAGAAAGGCATGATCCGAGCAAAGTTGCTGGCATAGTTTAAGATGTCTAGCACTGCATGTCTGATAACACACTGCGGTAATTAATGTCCTTTACATATTTCCCTTATTACCTCCAACAAAGAAGACGGTCAGCCTTACATGTATATGAGAGAGACCATCAGGTCTCATTCCATTAGATCCAATTATTTCATTTCTGTAACACCACGGTTCTCACCCTATTCACTGAAGTAGGGAAGTAGCAACGACAATTTTTTTTAATGGTTGTGTGGTTACCACAACACGAGGAACTGTATTAAAAGGTCGCGGCATTAGGAAAGTTGAGACCCATTGTTCTTCCACTCTTTATTTCGACATTCATTAAGTAACTTTTCAATGGCGAGAAGTCAGAATTTTTGTTATGTGTTATACAGTCAGTCAATCAGATGCCGTCTCCACAATAAGGGTTGGTTGCAATGGACCTCAAACACTCTCTGTCTCGTGTCTTGGTTGTACACTCTCTCAGACTGCTGTTCGTCTCCCTCCCTCCCCTAACTGTAATCTTACTTACTTTCCTTCCTTAGCCCCCCCCCCCCGCCGTATTTATTTTAAAAGTGTTATGTCTAATGTGGCCGATATATTTCAAGAGTCTCTTTTTTGTTTCTTTCAGTGATTCTTTTTTTTTTTTTTTTTTTTAATCATTCAGTCTTCACAGAACCACTAAATTTGCTTGTTGATTGTCCTGGTTTCTGCACCGTATAGCGGGACTGACTATGCATAACATTTGACGAGTTGCCCCCCCCCCCCCCCCCGCCCCCTTCCCTCACCATACCCCTAGTAATTGTTTATCCCTCTAATTGGCAAGGATGTTTGCATCTTACTGAAGACAGTTTTAGCCATCCCTATTCTCTTTTTTGAATTCGTTTCACTTCTGCCAACATCTGTTCACAACTTCTTGGTTGTTATTAAAATGGGAAGAATGTCATGAGAATGCGTATTTGGATCATATTCGTTACTTAAAGCAGGTATCTTATGGTGTCAATAATTAAATTTGAACAAAGCAGACGTAAACAATAGACTTCACAATTTATTGCTTGATATATTTCGGGGTGTCTTGTCAGGTGAGTACTACAATAAAAGTTTTTTTTTTTTTTAACGTATCCAGAAACCATGAGTTGTAAACCCTTTAGCTCGGTACTATGGATATCGCAACCCTTCGGCATTGATTCCATTATAGGTACCGTTAATCTGGGAGAAATGTGGCTTTTCTGCCTACCCCCGGGAGTGAACCCGGACCACAAGGAGTTCGTCACCCGGCCGCCGCGAAAATCAGGTTTAACCAACTTCGCTAGAGAGCCGGGCTACAATAATAGTTGAATAAATGAAGTCAATAAGTTAATCCTTTATAGCCGAAGTATACATTAAATCACTCTCAAAGGCCTTATTAAAAGATTTGAAATATCCAATATTGTAAATAGATTATTAAATTGGTGATCAGACTTTTGCTATGGGAAACAGAGTGCTAATAATTTTGTGCCAAGCCTAATTATGCCAGTTCTTCGTTAAAAAAAAGATTAAATCTAACCAAAACTGCTGACTATTTTTTTTTTCTTATGCGTTAATCAACCGGTTTTTCCGCGAGAGAGAGAGAGAGAGAGAGAGAGAGAGAGAGAGAGAGAGAGAGAGAGAGAGAGAGAGAGAGAGAGAGAAATCTGCCTTGTCATGCAATCCCCCATCACCAGATGGCGCGGGCGGCCGAGGTCAGGAATTGACGTAACGGGGGTTGCCCTTCAGCCAGGCTTCGCGGAGAAACTCTCTGCCTTGATCAATGTTTACAAATAAAAGCCGCAAGTTGTAGCTTGCCACACCGCTTTACAAACTCTCTATAAAGCTGCGATGCGGCCTGCTCTCCCACATTCTGGTCCACCCAGATAAGCGTACCCTAGTCGACATCGGTCATTCCCACAAGTAGCAGCTCTCGACTTGTTGTATACCACTACACATTCAATATGCCAGGTAAACCTACAAAGCGAAAGGCTGCAGTAGATACAAAGGCGAAGAAGACGCCGACTAAGAAAGTCCGTGTTGATGATGGTGGAGCATCTAGCGATTCTGGACACGGGCTCAGGTGGATTAACGTTGGCGACGCGCATGGTGGATTGTATCCTCTGATTGCCTACACCTCCGACACACTAGAGGGCGTGGAGAAAGTTGCCGGTTTTGACATCGATTTCACCATTATCAAAACGGCAAGTGGGAAAAAGTTCGCAACAGGTGATTTTTTTAAAAGGTTTTTTAAATACTAATATAAGAAGCCACTTTGTGTTTTATTGACGTGCAAGTATTGCGTCCTTACTGATTTATGGGTACTTAAAATAATTCATGCAGCGTTTAAATAGCTATAATGTTTTACTTTTTTTTAAACCGTATTGTTTGTTTCGTTTGGAAATGTTACTTTTTTAAACGATTCCCTGCTGTGTTTATTTAATTGTTTTCCTTACAATGAGCAAAGCTGATCAACTGACAAACATTGCGGCAACTAAATCTTTTGTAATCTATGACAGCCACAAGACTAGTTTACTTTCATTACCTCTGTTTATTGTAAGGAGATGAGCTAACAAGCATTTTTGTTCGGGTACGGAGAAATCAACAAAGACTATAAGATAGATATATGCAGTTGAGTACACAGCAGATACAAAGGGTTAATATAGCATGTGTTTGTGACAGACGGTTGCAAAAACAGTTAATTATCCTTGGAACTACCAAACGACGTATGGTGCGTTGTCCAGCACTGGAAAAGTAAAGCACCTTATTGTAGTTTTAATTGGATTGGGCGGGGGGAATTTGGGGGGGGGGGGGTAACCCAGCCCTAAGCTGTCAGTTAACTTCATAACATTGTTATCTAGTAGACATGAATTATAACTACAGTAGAACTTTGGAAGTTGATCACCCAAGGGACTGTAGCAAAGTTGACTGAGGTAGTCAACAGCTTTAGTTGCACCGTGCACTATTATGCTGCTCTGTACTTGGGCCAGTTCCGCTTGGAAAATTCCTTCTTGACCTGGCGCAGTGCAGGTTGCTATGTCATCATCCTTTGCAACGAAAACCTCAAAATATATTCCTTCGAATGTCGCCATTGGTAATGGAATGCCCAGTAGGACTTGAACTGCCATGCTCTTGGGTTGTAACAAATCAAACTGTCTGTTGTTTCATGGTAAACTTTGTTCTAAGCAAGGCTCCAGTGGACCAAGAGGTGAGGAAAAGACGCTGGCGTTGGATAGGACACACACTGAGAAAACAGGAGAACAGCATAACTAGAATGTCTTTGCATTGGAACCCACAGGGGCATAGGAATAAAGGAAGGCCAAAAAACACATGGGGATAGCTCAATGTAATGGCGAAGGATAGAACGACTTGGTGTGAGTGGGTTGAGGGCCTATGCTCCATTGGGGGATAGAAAGGCAGAAGAAGAAGAAAACTGATCTAGTAGAAGACGGAATTCAGAAAGTACTCTGGCGCAGCAGATGAAGTTGCTTCCACAGACCTGTGTTTAATGACCCACTACAAGAACTGGGCCCGGTAGTGCATTTTAAATATTTTAATGATGTCTCCTTGGTCAAGAGGTTGGGTTCTGGGCGTCGTGTTAGATAGCAGAAATTTTAATGTCACGTTGGTTGAGTTGAGTTAAGAATTGACATCACAGCACTTGGGGTATTCCCATGCATGCTCCGTCATCTTTAGCAGCCCATAATCAGTCACGTTGGTTGAAATGATCCATATGTGGACGACCAGGACAGTTGTCTTCTGTCAACAAAATATAACGTTTCTTCGCTTCTTCTTCTTTTTCTTCTTCTTATCCTCTTCCTTCTTATTCTTCTTCTTCTTCTTCTTCTTCTTCTTCTTCTTCTTCTTCTTCTTCTTCTTCTTCTTCTTCTTCTTCTTCTTCTTCTTCTTCTTCTTCTTCTTCTTCTTCTTCTTCTTCTTCTCTTCTTCTTCTTCTTCTTCTTCTTCTTCTTCTTCTTCTTCTTCTTCTTCTTCTTCTTCTTCTTCTTCTTCTTCTTCTTCTTCTTCTTCTTCTTCTTCTTCTTCTCTTCTCGGCGGTAGTCTCTTGCTCACTCCCCAAATCGTTATCCATGCCGATTTGTTTGATCTCCAAGTAATGGGAAGTCTTTGGGCTTTAGGTTCTAGATCGCGCCTGGTTTTGTTGATTACAACCAATTAACAAAAGCTTTAATTTCTCTCCAGTTGAAATAGCACAAAGCCTTATATGGGAAACGTTATTAGGACAGTGTTCAACTCTTTCACGTGTCACCTTTGGTGGCAGGACCTCTTGTGAATTCTGCCAGGAATCAAATTTAAAAAGAGTAAGCGCGCGTCAGCATAAAGATGTCGTTTTTGAAGTCCTCCCTTATATAACCTTCTTTAAAACGCAGCTACAACGGTCCATAGCCAGGTGTAGTTACAACGAAGATCCAACTATTTGATGTCGCTTCATTGACTTTTTGAGCGTCTGCTCTCAGCAATTCGTTTGGTTCTTTGAGATCAAAAGAACACCAACCCGTTGCGATTGTAAACTGCGACAAGAGTACACGAAGACATAGCTGGTTAAGACCAGCGGTCAAGTTTCAGAGAGTAAATTACTATAGTATGTCATATTCCAAGTGGTCAACCAACATACAATTTACAGAGGGGGTCAACATTTAGACGTAGTCTTCCATTTGGAATAATGTGACTGTCTGGTCAAAGAAAATAAAATGGACACAGGGAGGTGGTCAACTTTGAAGGTTCTACAGTATATCTCCCGGAGTTTTTATTTGATGATGCGGGTTCGCAGAGGCTTGCCTCCATGTCACGTGATCAGAGTATGATTATCCAAGAGGACAAATTTCTTCAAAATCTACTATGGTCTTCCTGGTCTAATTATATTAAAACAGATACCGCCAAAATTATGGGAAATAAAGGCGACAGACGTGATATTTGACAATATAATCTATTTTATAGCAATTGGTATATAAAAAAAATGAGCTACCGTCAGGTACCCACAACGCTTCAAGGTGAGGCAAATGGCCCTTATGCCCACATACGGTATGATCACCGCCTTCTCCAAATAGAATCGACCGTGGATATAGGTATACCAAGGTACGGCGATGACCGTGTACCATAGCCTGATAACCCAATTTGGTTATCACAAAAACCAAGAGTACGACAGCAATATCTGTGACAAGGATTTCGTAATACAGTAGTAGTGGGGGGAACCAGACACCAGATTTTGTATATTTAGAGAACACAGCCAGCCTTTTAATCGACTGATCGTCTTCACAGAACATTCATACACAAAGTGCTCTTTAGTTAGTTATGCGGGTACTGAAGGAGTATCGATGAGGGGGGGGGATCCGAGCACTTATGGACTGAATGGTTTGATGTGCAATGAGGATAATCTGTCGACTAACTAACTAACTAACTAACTAACTAACTAACTAACTAACTAACTAACTAACTAACTAACTAACTAACTAACTAACTAACTAACTAACTAACTAACTAACTAACTAATTAATTAACTAACTAACTAACTAACTAACTAACTAATTAACTAACTAACTAACTAACTAACTAACTAACTAACTAACTAACTAACTAAACTAACTAACTAACTAACTAAACTAACTAACTAACTAACTAACTAACTAACTAACTAACTAACTAGCTAACTAACCAACATCTTCTTCTTCTCTTCCACCTTGTACCTCAGTGAAGTGTCGGGGAGAGTTGTAATGTCAAGAGCACTATTAAGACTCATGTTCATTTCTGTAAGGCTGTTCTTAATGCCATCACTCCATATTTTCCGAGGTCTTCCACTCGCTCTATACCCATTGTAACATTTTAGTGTGGCTCGCTGTGGCAGATAGTACCAGCGCATTCTTGTTAGGTGTCCAAACCACGTCACTTGTTGTTCTTTGATGACCTGTAGGACTGGCTTTATTCCTAGCATTCGTCTGATTTCTCACCTTAAGCGGTCTGCACTGTACTTCTCTAGAGGTGTGCATTGACACTGGCAGCAGGGTGAACTCTACCAACAGATGACATGTGGCGTCTCCTCCCTCCCAAACACATGACCAGGATTGACGTCAGTTGGTGGGAGGTACCTGTGGGGTCTCCTCCCTCCCAAACACATGACCAGGATTGCGTCAGTTGGTGGGAGGTACCTGTGGGGTCTCCTCCCTCCCAAACACATGACTAGGATTGATGTCAGTTGGTGGGAGGTACCTGTGGGGTCTCCTCCCTCCCAAACACATGACCAGGATTGCGTCAGTTGGAGGGAGGTACCCGTGGCGTCTTCTCCCTCCCAAACACATGACCAGGATTGACGTCAGTTGGTGGGAGGTACCTGTGGGGTCTCCTCCCTCCCAAACACATGACCAGGATTGCGTCAGTTGGTGAGAGGTACCTGTGGGGTCTCCTCCCTCCCAAACACATGACCAGGATTGCGTCAGTTGGTGGGAGGTACCTGTGGCGTCTTCTCCCTCCCAAACACATGACCAGGATTGACGTCAGTTGGTGGGAGGTACCTGTGGGGTCTCCTGCCTCCCAAACACATGACCAGGATTGACGTCAGTTGGTGGGAGGTACCTGTGGGGTCTCCTGCCTCCCAAACACATGACCAGGATTGACGTCAGTTGGTGGGAGGTACCTGTGGGGTCTCCTGCCTCCCAAACACATGACCAGGATTGACGTCAGTTGGTGGGAGGTACCTGTGGGGTCTCCTGCCTCCCAAACACATGACCAGGATTGACGTCAGTTGGTGGGAGGTACCTGTGGGGTCTCCTCCCTCCCAAACACATGACCAGGATTGACGTCAGTTGGTGGTAGGTACCTGTGGGGTCTCCTACCTCCCAAACACATGACCAGGATTGCGTCAGTTGGTGGGAGGTACCTGTGGGGTCTCCTCCCTCCCAAACACATGACCAGGATTGACGTCAGTTGGTGGGAGGTACCTGTGGGGTCTCCTCCCTCCCAAACACATGACCAGGATTGACGTCAGTTGGTGGGAGGTACCTGTGGCGTCTTAACGGATGAGCCTACTGGGAACTTGCCCGTGAGCCTCAGCCGTATAGGTGGTGGCGTACTTTCATATTAGCCGATCACAAACAGGGGCAATCCACAGGTCACGGGACAGTCAAATATTTTAGGGGGTGGTAGATTAAACACAAAGTTGTGGTTAGGGCTAGGGCTAGGGGTCGGTAAACGCGAGAAAACCTTTGCCTTGGAGAAAC